GGGTAGTATGTGGGTAGCAACGCCTGGACTCTCTGGACGTGATAAGGGTACGTTGGGCCTCATGTAATATGCGCCACGCTGTTGTATGTGATGCTTCTGGGACCTGTTGGGCTAACTGCCTTGTGCTTATTCCCGGATTTTCTTTCTCAGTATCCAAGATTTCGTCTTCGGAATTTAAAACGCGTTGTGGGCGTACCCGACCCCCATCCACTCCACGTCTGGGACGCAAATCTCCACTAGCACCTTCACGTAAAACAGTTGAACTAAATGTTTCGTGATGTGGTATGTGCCGTTTCGGAAATCCGTGTGCATATAAACGAGCAGACGCTCGCGAATTTTGGCCTGCTTCTCTTTACGCTAAAACAATGTCCACCAGCTCCTCATTAGTGTTCACATGTGCCATTTTTATTAATAAATAACCAGAAACATAAACTCGCAAAATACTTTCGTATTTAACTTCACAAAAATCGACCGTTCTTCAGTCAGATCACCCACGATACAGATTAAACCTTATTTACACGTTCTTATCAGTATGAAAAAACAAAAAATTCCTAGTATTTTGGTTTCGCCAGTTGTTTGGTAGAATATTTGCTACAATAAATTATACTAATGCGTATTCTAATAACACGACGATGAACGCAAGATACAGATATTTATTTTTCAATTTATTTTTGAAACTCAGGTGTATAACTTAATTTCTGTAGGTTCTTTATAACATTTTTTTTTGAGAAATCTACTTCCTTCGTAACAGTGCATATGTGGTTAAAATTTGTCGGATAAGTTCTCTGCAGAAACCGTACCTACATTTATATTTATTTTCATCTTTTAGGTCTAGTTTCCTGGATCTCAGCATTCATCTCCTGCCTATTAGGCCTACCTTGCTTCTACTCTCAAAGGCTGAAGAACATAGTGAAACCCGTGCACCTCAAGCTTCTTCACAGTCTATTAGCACTTGCTTCATTTTCCATCGGCATCGCAAGTCTATGCCTGGGTTTAGAAAAGAAAAGATATGCCCTTCACGTCACGAAAACTCAGTTGAGTGCTTCACAATGGATGGTTGGAATTATTGCGGTTTTTATAGGGTTATCTGTATTCAGAGCTATTGTGCGGCATGTAAAAGCAATCTGCCAGTGCACTGATAATATGGCATAGCTTGGTCTAGACTAAATTCGTATGTGAATCGAATTATACAGGGTGGCGACTCCTGCATAGTGAAAAATTGACTGTGAGGTGCGCAATTTGAATGAAATTTTTACACAAGGTTACGACTATGAAGCTTTATAGTTTTGGAAAATCGGTCCTGAAGCGGCAGAACAAAATTTCAAAAAAAAAAATAAAAGTCGCTCAAACTTCGTTTCTTGATGCTTCAGAGCATCCTGATCACTTTTGAAAATCACTTTGGGGATAAAAAATTGGAAGGTGGGGATCGTAGGAGGTTGGGGGAGGGTATATTTACTCATGTAAGTATAGTGAAACTCTCCCAATCCTGGTAATTCAGATTTTGGCATAAAACTCGGTATAGGGAGTTCTTCTAGTACGAGAAACAAGAATCCTTTATTTTTTATCGCCAAACTTCTAGATCGCGCCACTTACAGCACTATCTTGGTAAATAACTTATCATGACTTTTCTATGCTACCCTGTATACAACAACTGACCGAAAAATCTTATTGGCTCGTATTTTCACAACAAAAAAGCTGTACTAGTTAGAAGTATCTAAAGCAAATAGTTTTCGAGATATTTGTTTTTAAAAGTTCCAATGCATTATTTGTACTAATGTACTATGGTTTGTCGTAATATTGCTTTAAACTTCGTGAACAATTTTAAGTTGAAAACAAGTTGTTGAACATCATGGAGTATGCGTTTGATGAATTTTAGCCATAAAAATAACGGATTCATGATTCTCATACTAGAAAACCTCCCTATACCAATTTTTATGCCAAAATCTGAAATACTTCTCAAGCAATAAGGAAATATAGAAAATAAAATTGTAACTTTGACACCCTGTATCTCGCAAACTATCAGATTTTGGACTAAGGTATGTTTAGATCAATTCACTTATTTTGGTCTGTCGTATCTCCAGTTTCGAGATTTCCCAAACTTTCGCAAATACCCTGTATATACGAGCATTATGCTTGGAACGCAATTTAATGAGATAACTTGAATTCGTGAGAAAATATTATATAGTATAGTATATATAGTATATATGTACGTATCAAGAGCTATTATAATCAGTTATCAAACATTATTGACAAACCGTTTTACACCAGACCTCCAAAGAATTTAGGCTACCGTGTACGGACACGCTGATTGATAGGAAAAAACAAAACGTCTATCATGTGTCTAAACAATAACTTGAACACAATTACCTACGAACAATTGTAACTTTTATAGTATGTACTCGAATATACAACGTGTTCTATCTGGAGATAGCCAACCTAAGTATGAGGCCTTAGTGTGCGTGTCTCTGTTGTCTGTTTATTGTATTTATCCTTAGTTGCAGCTTGCAGCCGTCAAGCGTTGTAGGGAGTGTGCATCTTTGTGTCTGGTATAGCGTTGAGCGGTGTCCAGCATTCATTACAATTCAGTTTGTGTTTTAGTGCGTTATTGAATGTATGGAAGCTAGTAGCTGTTACTTTTGAACGAGCATCTATTTTTTCCCAATATGTAGTCGAATGTTGACACTGACATTCTTGTCAAAGATTGCCTCTTTGTCGCGGGATCATACTCAAAGATCCACGACTCGTCATCTGTAATTACGTTATTCAAAAATTGGGGGTCACTTTCACACATGTTCAAATTTTCTTGGCACACTTCCATTCGACGCAATTTCCGGTCGTCAGTGAGTGCCCTTTTGGGGCAATCTTCGCGCACACCTTGCGCATGTTCAAATGCTGTGTCACAAAATCATGAACCACAGATTTTGGTAAATTTAACATCTGGGCAATTACGCGAATACTTAGTCGATAGTCTGAGTTCAAAACTTTGCGTACACGAGTCACATTATCGGTGTTTGTTGAAGTCGAAGGTCTTCATCGGCAACCTCTTCCTGGCCCTCCAGAAAGGCCTGGTGCCACACACCACTTCTTGCTAAAGCAACACCTGGGTAAGCCTGCTTGATCATATCAAACGTCTCTGTAGCAGATTTACCGAGTTTCACACAGAATTTAATCGCGTACCTCTGCTCTAACGAACGCTGCATTTTCGGCTTGCACCACTCACAGAAACACGTCGCGCGAAAATGCGTGTCCTGACTCTCCAAGTGCTCGGAGACAACTGATCAACCGCCCATTCTAGGAACGCCCTCCACCGAATCCAGTGGGTGCGCGCACGCTCCGAAGTACAGTCATGGCGGAAGAAAATGACTCCTATTACTTTCCGGACATACCCTGTATACTCGTAGAGTTTGTTTTCGTCTGATCGTAGTATTTCATACAATGTAGAAAATTATCCTGATATTTTTCTTTGCTTAATATGACTTGGACCTTCATTGCACAACAACTCAAACTTTAAAACTGAATTTTCTAGTACATATATATCAAAAATATGAAGCCATGATTATCAAAATACGTGTATCACAACTGGACGCTGACTGTTGACTGAGGCCAGACAAAGAACGCTCCTAGATACTAAACCTCCACGCTGCACGCACCGCAGAACCCAGTTTTCACTCAGGCCGTACACTAATACTACATTCTCGACTCCGAAAAACTATACTTCACATGTATTTATAATCTATGAATGGGTGCAGGTTACGAAATTTTAAATTTGGGTATTCTTGGAAGCTAGGCAGAAATGCTATAAGCTTGGTAATATTGTATATCCAATATCTATAAATATCACCAGCCATTTATTTGTACTTTCTTGTTGTCAAATAAAGTATGTCGTCACATTGATCATTAAGTGTTCAATTTTTGAATTACCTTATCTACTGAATGGTTCCTTCGAGCTGTAGGTATTGCTGATACTACTATACCACGATTATACGTATTCCATATATTTTTAGAAATTATGTACAATTGCATTGCTCACTGTATTTTAATGGCCTACACGATTCTCAGAGTAGAAACCGTTCAAGAAACAATGTGTTTACTTAATATACTGTTTATTAGCAAATAGCAAAGATAATTGTTATCTGATAATTTTAGTCGTTGCCCAGACAGAGTGTCACAACTAGAATGTGGATGACCTATGATAGATGGTAAGTTTGTAAAACGAAATAAAATTACTGGAATAAAGTTATGTTCCTTACTATACTAGTTCTGTCCTCTTCTACGAACGAATTGAATTTCTGAGTCTCTTCATGTACTCTGTGAGTGAGTTCGCAAGAAGCAGTACCTTAGACTAGATTTAACGTTTTGCAGGAAACTATTCCAAATAGTATAGAATCAGAAGCTGGGGTACCGTAAACAAGGAAGTCTGATGTACAGTACTCCTTAAATATCTATAGTACCATGGGTAACTTCGGTAGGTAGTTGGAAGAGCTCCCCCACGAAAAAAATTTAAGCTTTCCAGCATCTACTCCATGACGATACACGTTTTTGAGCATTCCAAATACTCAGCAAAGGTCCCTATTCTCACCTATGCTTACTCGTATAGAAAACCTCGCAGTTTTTAACACGGTTATACAAGCTTTGGCCTGTATGTATGTATCTGAATCTTTGAGCATAATTTTCGTCAATTCCCAGAAGTTTGGTTAATTTAAAACTTCGCACACGTATCAAAGATCGATGACAATGCAATATCATCACGTGTCCACAAAAAACTAAATAACAAATGAACAATAGTTTAAAAGACTAAAAAAACACGCTTTTATAGCTAATGAATTATAAAGAGTTTATATTACAGAAGTAGATGGTCGAACAATCAATCATGATTAATGACCTCAAAATAAAATTATATATGAGCAATACAGGATTGGGTTCAGGGTTCTACACTCACTATCTATCCATTAAAATATGCTATCGACACCCTGTATATCACATCAGAATGTTAGCTCACCATTTTATACATATTACTCACACCAATTCGAGGATTAAAGGATTGCAAAGTTATCAACAACCATCGCAGATTAGATGTTATCAATACTCCATCCGTGTCTATTCAGTCTACTTTTTACAAATACTAATCCCATGTGCGTGTTGTGTGTTGTGAGTGATCTCTAAAAACATAAAATGATGTCATCAGAAACGAGGCGGAGGTTCTTCCATGTGTCCGAGGTGGTATTCCAGCAAGTTTTGGCAGTATTTGTCTTATTGATACTATGGGAGGTGTTCAAGTTTAATAATTTGAATAGTCTACATACATGGCATGTCATCATGTGTGTTTTGGGTGTAAGTAGAGAATTACGAAAATATGAAGCAAATGCTGATCGGGGCGTTGAGTTATAGCATTGATTAACTTATTCTGCCTGGAGACGGCCAATCATATATTATATTCCGGTGTTCAAAAAGGGATCTGAGAGATACTAGCGCCATCTGTGACACGGCAGCAGAACACAAAAACGAATTTATAAACCGACTTTGAAAAGAGTTAGAGTCTACAGAAATGAGACTGCACAAGACGCCAAGTATTTCAAGAATCGATCACTCCTAGGGCTTGATTCTAAATGAGTTTCGACAGTTGAAATTGATGGCGATGGCGCCTGTTGAGATATACTTGATTAACTATGATAATTTTGATACTGCCATGACAATTTGAATATAGAAGATCAATATAATCAGATGTCAAAATTATCATAGCGAATAAAGTATATCGTCACAAGGCACCATCGAAATCAATTTCAACGGTCGAAACTCATTTGGGATCAAGCTCCAAGAGTGATACGGAAGGGTGTTTGTAAGAACTGTGTCTCAATTCACACTCAACAGCCGGGTAACCACTGCAACCACTTGAGGTCATCAATTCTCGCTGTACAATAGATGCGGCCTACTCGCCATTGAACAAACTAGTGATATAGCTTACGTCTGTCTGACCACAGGCGGCCAACCATGGACAGCTGTTTCGTACTTTTTGGAAACTCATCAGCACCGTCCATGTTTGGTTTTAGGTAGAACTATCCGCCATCTGAGGTATAAGGTCTATATAATACTGTTGCAAAGAAAAAGAACATCTTTTAATAATGAATTTATCACAATAATTTTTTGCACACGTTTCCACATTTCAGCAAAACCCAACCGCCGAAACAAATGTAAAAAATTATTGTATTGTATATATTATATTGTATTTGTTTGGTTGTACATGACGTCCTCCCAGAAACATTTCAGAAACCTTACATTGTAATAATCGTAATGTTTCAAAATCCTTACAAAATCCTGCTGCAATATTATGAGGGTATATATATATGCCATTCATAGTTATTGTCGAAATAACCAGTTAAATGGAAGACTCGTCTTTGTTAAAATCGACAAATTATGCAATTTTGACTTACAACTCAAGCTTTCGACAGACTATGCTGTCATCACCAGGAGCTCAAAGCAAATTTAAAAAAATAAAATATTAGCAACCATACTCAGTTGATTGAAATTTTTTTTACTTACTGCGTCGGCGAGACTGGTGCTGAAATTCGATTTTATCAAGTGGATACGAGAACACATGGTTGGGTAGGGTGATTAAAAACTCTATTCATGGGGATATTTTTCTGAAAAACGATGCAAAACATGGCTATGTTCTTCTAATAAAGCACAAACGGATTATGACAAAACGTTATTGACTAAATAATTATTGATAAAACATGTCTCATCTTGGAATTATCTCAAAATGGTATCGTGGTCAAAAGGTTAGAAGGGATGTGAGAAGTTGGTACTATTAACATTCAAGTAGTTGTTAAGGGAAACTGGTTTTTGTTTCATCTGTTGCCAACCTTCAACAGCATGTGCGATACTTAAGAGGAGATTCAATTCAAGTCCAAGATGTAATCGATAAGTCTCGAAATTTATTGTGGTATTTTTTTAAACTATATTTTCTGAGTCATACTAGGCAAAATAAGTTGATGTTTTAAAAGACTTACACAAGACAAAACAGGGGAAAGGAATTCTATTTTTTTACACACATTTTGACTCTATCTATTATATTATTATATTTGTTATTGGGAGAAGCAATATTGGAAGATATATGTAAAGGTTCCAATTTTTCGCAGTTTAACAGGTATGACTAGATAACACTAAGCTGCTTGACATCCGCCTTTTCATACATATAATTCATAGTTAAGAAAATGTGCGACATTTCTAAGAAAAAACGTTTGGAGAGATGTTCTCCTCTGTCAAGGACCTTAATACTGTTATAGCACATAGAGTGAGTGCCCTGAGGTGTTGACATGTGAGGCCAAAGCACATATTTCTGATTGCAATCTGGAATCACTGGAATCACACAACAATTAATGGAGTACACAGTATTGGAATTTATTTTAGAAAACACAGTGATGATTGTGAGAACTGATCTACTTTTTAAAGTACTACATAGTCTGGTCAGCTTTGGAGTTGTCCTGGATGTATGGCAATACTACGAAAGCAATTCTGGAATTTGAGGCTTCATTGGTATTCTTATTATTAGAAGAATTGTTTGTAATGTTATTAGAAGGGGTGGAATTATTATTGTCATTATTTGAATTTGGCATAATACTAGTCAGAGAGCTGAACAATTAATGAGCAGTGTTGAGAATTTTCGTAGATTTGTAGTATGGAAAGTATTGTCATTTGTTTCACCAAATTCAGCTTTATTTTTAGTTTGTGCTAAGACCTGGCATTCAGGAACCTTCTTGAGCAGATTGGTTTCCTGTACCAATTTACCAGTAAAATGCTGTTCTTGTTTCCAAAAATAGAACTGATTGATTTTCATCCTCTTCCTCAATGTTGAATTGGATATAAAGGCCATAGCTATTAAGGTCTTTACCCCCTGTGATGACGGACAAACAATAATAATAAAAAAAATAACACTATCAAGCACTATTCTACTATTCTGCCAAAATTGGTGATAGTACTGAGCCCATTGGGCAACCATGTGTTTGTGAAAAGATTTTATTATAAGTAAAATAATTATTATGGAAGAGATATTCTAAAATGGAGATGAAAGAATCCAAAGTAAGATAACAACATTGACATAATATTTGATCCCAGTGTTTATTAATGATATCAAGGTAAACATTGCTGAAGACTGGCAAAAACATGACCAGGTGGTATTTGTAGCCTATTAAACTGTTGAAAGACATCGAAAGAGTCTTTAATATAATATTCGCCCTCAACGTGAGCTGATTTTGAAATATCCGAAATCAATGAGAATAGAGCTTGCGTGGCTAACCAATTGAAGCCGCTATCGGTCTTACCGAAAGTACCGGTTTATGTGACTTCTGGAGAGCAACATTTTTGGGGAGACAGAATTGTAAGTGATTAATGATTTTTTCTGATCTTGATTGATTTATGCAGTGTTAAAGAGCTTTCTAGGTACCTACTGTTATGGCAATATTGAATATATGTTCAAATAAAACACATCAGTATTTCCAACGAATCTACTACACATATAAACCCAGCTGTAATACTTGAGTTATCTATCCACCAATCTCATCTTCTGAGACAGCTGTCGTATCACTTGAAGCTTTAACATTAATGTAACTTATTCTGGAACTGATAGGTAAATTTTCAAAATCGAATGAAGGAAAGCACTCATTACTAATCTTTCAGTTGCCAACGAAGTCTTATCAAAGAATATTTTTCGAAACCTCAGTAATGATTATTGTATCATTCTGTCTTGAATTAGTTCAGTTTTATTTTGGAGATATAATAAACTGAGTTTTCAAGTATAGTGATTCGGATTTCCTAGTCCAATCTATCTTCTGCTCTAGGAAAATTCAGAATCGGGAGATTTGCAGTTTACTTTATTTATGGATCAAATCTCATAACATATTTTAAACATATCAGTGATATTTCAGAAACAATATGAATGAAACATTCCTTGTCCCTCATTTCAGTACTGTCTCTCAAAAATAACTGGCGAAATATTGCAAAATCAATATTTCTGAAAGATGTACGAAATACCAATTTTGAAATGTAATATTGGGAAAGATATGTAATATACCAGAAATAACTCTGGAAAGTGACGTGCTGTACAGGTTACGTACTTAAAAATACGTTTGGGCATACGCCAAATCAGATGATCCAGTTCCTCTTGCGGTATCTCATCCTAAGCTACCTGTACCTCGTGCCGAAGTGCCGCTGGAGTCTGTGAAGGATAGGCTAAATGTATCCCAGACGTGTTCAATGGGTGAAAGATCGGGAAATCCAGAGGTCAACGCAAGAAGCCGACTGGTATTCAAAATAGACCAACGTAAATCTGGCCATATGTGGTAGGGCATTGACTTGTTGTTCGGCGCATAGAAATGAAGTAAGTTCAAAAATGTTGATCCGACGATGAAGAATTGACACTGTGATAGTCTTTCCATATTCCCCAAACCATTGGTCCTCAGTTGACCGTGTGGACGAGAAGCGGTCGCGTAGAGCCAAAAACCTAAGGCGGCCACCTTGTGGGGCTGTTCATCTGGCACGCCCTGTACCTCTAACGCTTTGGTTCGGCCTTCCTGATCCCGTGACCGACAACAAACCACCACTTTTTTTGGACATCTGTTCACCTTGGTAGCTACTTCTCTGAAGGACCAGCCAGCCTCACGCAAGCTCACTAGTCGCCCTCTATTAAACTTTCTAAGCTGTTGTTGAAGATTTTCTCGTCTTTTCATTCTAAGCATAATGCGCAGATGAAAGCAGCTCTTCACAACGTATTGTACATATGATGATCAAATGCTAATTGTACCTACAAAACACAACTATCGCTTACTTATTTTTTTGTAAAAACAGACGATATCGCAAAAACCACTTTATCGATATGATTAGAAAGCCGACAGTTTTTTGTCCGAACCTAAACAAGTATATACCCAGAAATCTGTGTAACAAATCCATTCCTGTGTGTTTTCTATTCTGTCCAGTATAAGAAAGATATATCTCAGGTAGAGGATAGTTGCCCTACCTGGTACCAGGCCTAGATCATGTTGATGAGTTTCCAAAAAGCACGACACAGCTGTCTATGCTTGACCGTCTGTGGCCAACATATGAAAGCTAGAGGCTGTCCTCAAAGTTGGGACTTTTCTTCACAGAACGTGTGGGTCAGCCAATCATAAGCAAGTTTCGCTAGTAAAAAAACCTTAAGATAACCGAGATATTAAGTTGAAATGAAAGGACAATACTTGAGATTCCTTACCAAATGAATAGTCAGTATTATTCTTTAGTTTCCTTTTTATATTTTTGGTCCGGTTTATCCGCAAATTAGATTTGCTATTTCAAACGTAGTTGTTTCTGGAAGGGAAAGTTCCAACTTCTGGGACACCCTATATACTACTAGATTAAGAGTTAGAGCGTTGGTTCTTCTACTGTCTTAGGTCGCACTACGGTATTCAATCCATTTTGGGACCTAATGTCTATTTTAATTGGATGCCTTCAGGCATTGATTAACATATTTCTACAATGGAACCCAGAGACAAATCAGACAAAAACATGCAAACAAGGGTGAAAGGAAGAAATCTCTCACTTGATCGCTTCGAAAGTTTCTTGTTATTTTGGGGCATAGTTAAAGGAAGATTATAGAGAACTTGACAATCTTGATTCATCTGGAGGTTATCACTACTTGGGGATGCAAGAATCTGGTACAGTTCAATGCTTCCAAGGTACAGTACTGTAAGATCACTGACAAGAAGTGCCTTAACGCTCCTCCGGTTTCGATGCATCAAAGAGCCGTTCTTATCGGCTAGTCGTAGTTTAGATAACCGAGGAGTTGATCTGGCACGAACACATCTCGTCAATTGCGGCAGCTGGTGGTAAAAAGCTCAGCTATTTGTTTAGTGTTAAGAAGTGCTTTTCTCCACATAACCTCCTTATCCTGTAGAAGGCCAAGATTATACCTGGCCTGCGCGACTCAATTATCCATTCTGGATGGTGTTCCGAGGAGGCCCTTCTCCATGAGCGATGAGCCTACCAGACAGACCCGCCTGACATCGCCTCGTACATCCAGAACTTTCCGATACGACCGCTCCTTTGCCTCTAGGGTATCGAGATTGTGGAGCTACTACGTGAAAGCTTCACCTTGCAGCTGCGCTGCCCTGAGATTTGGGCTTCCAGAACTGGGCAGTAAGGCCACGATTTTGTTCCTGATTCCTGATTCTGGAGTAACCTGTCTAAGGATGCTTTTAATCTAGTTCTACTAACCTTAGGCAGTTCGAAAGTTGGATTAATAAAGTGTCGTTAAGCTTCTTTCAGCAGCAGCGGTGCCACGGTATTTAGACTTCGACCTACGCGGCTGCTTTGGTATAAAAAAAATTGTTCCCAATCAGATGTGTCAAAATTGCTGCTACGCCTTTCATCTTAATTGCACTATGAGTATTAAAAATTGCGTTTATTGTTGTAGGTAGCGCTGTGTATGGCGGAGGGAGTGCAGTTTTACAGGAAAGAAACCATAGTAACATTTGGAAGTACGCGAGAATCTAAAGTTTTCGGACATGGAGCTGTTATGGGGTTGGCTTTCATCATGATACTCATCGGAGTTTCTTTGAAAATACAAGATAAAATCAATAATCATCGGGATCACTTCGCTACGACACACTCACAACTTGGTAAGAATGATTTGATCCTAGACCCTAAACAAAATTGCAACTTTAAAGTCTGAAATATATTTATGCAATACATTTTCTAAATATGATGCAGTAGTGTTTACTGTCCTGGCACATGGCGCCCGCGGCTTGATAAGAGGCCCCAAAATCAATCGCAATCTCAAAAAATATATATCTGAATCAACGGCAAAGTAAAGCCACCGATTCCCTTCTTGCAAAAGGTCCCTTCAACGGCAATACTCAAACTTCCTGTGTGATCTTATACAGGGTGTCACATCGGGAACTCGATCGATAGATATCTCGAAAAGTAGGAATATGATATTTCAAATGACGTCTGCAGGCCCTAAAATCTCCAAAAATATCATATGCCTACTTTTCTAGAAATCCATCGATGAAGTTCCCGATGCGACACCCTGTATAGCTGGAGACGGCCCTATATATAGCTTGTCTTCGAATTATTTCGCTAATTTTGTACTTCCTATACCACTAACGAGGAAGCATTGTAATCGCGAACAATTTCGAAAACGAGATATAATGTTTGGTGATGGTGTTATTGATGTTATGAACACCATCATACACCATCACCTTGCAGAAGATGGACTACAATCTTCTTTACAAAGGTTGGGTGAGAAAATACTTTCTCTTGAAATCTCTTCTTGTCATAAACAATTAAAAAAACTTCACTCATCCCTTGAACTTTTGAAAACTGAAATCATTTCACTCACGTCCCTCTTAATTTTTAATAATTTTCAATCGAGACAATTAAGACATTATAATACATTGTTCCATTCTATCAAAAATTCGAATATACGTAAGTTTGACAGGTTACTAAGTGACACAATGAAAATTTTGCTGAACACTCATCCAAACTGGGTAAAGAACCTCAGTAATGTCAGCATTCCAGATGATATCACAAGTTTTCTTTCGTTGGGTCCAAAATTTAGTGTTGAACCATTTGTCAACAGTGACATTGCAATGAGACATATTCTGGCTGATGTTGATTCTATATCTTCTTCCATTAGTGATGACACAGAAAGGAACATTGCGATAACTCGTTCCACCAATATTATCACAAATTACTTTCACAACAGTAGCATCAACAAAAAACACTCTTTCTACCATAACCTGCTAAATAAAACGAGGACATTTATTAAGGATCATCCCGAGTTAATGGTTACAAAATCATACAAAGGCAATGTTACCGTAATCATGTTAAGACAACAATATTTTGACCTATGTAATAATTTGATTGATAATGATCCCTCTTACAAGGTTATCAATAAACACCCTACATCTAAAGTAGAGAAAGGTTGCAATGACATTGTTAACAGACTACTCAGCACTGGTCAAATCAACCAAGACCAAAAGAAGACCTTAATCACTTATAATTCTGTCTCTCCAAAATTTTATGCTCTTCCCAAAATAGTCAAAATACACAAACCGGTACTGTCAGTAAGACCGATTGTAGCTTCTGTTGAATCAGCCACACTAGCTTTATCTTCATTAATTGCAGATACTCTAAAGTCAGCTCACATCAAAGGAGAATACTTTATAAAAGACTCTTTTGATGTTTGTCAACAATTTAATAGATTTCAAATACCCCCTGATCATGTTATTGCGAGTTTATATGTAGTTTCACTGTTCAGCAATGTGTATTTAGAAGCTTGCATCAGATCCATCAACAAACATTGGGATCTAATTTGCCAACACAGCAACCTAACTATGGATTCTTTCATCAATATCGTAGAGTACCTTTTCCAGAACAATTACTTTACCTTTAATAACAAAGTGTTTTCACAAACACATGGCTGCCCCATGGGCTCTGTTTTATCTCCAATTTTGGCAGAATATGTAGTGGATGACCTGCTTGATGTTGTTATTCAAGTATTGCCATACAATCTAATTTTCATTAAAGTATGTGGACGATATAATCGTTTGTCTTCCTTATGATAGGGTGGATGATATTGTTGAGGTTTTTAACAGTTATGATCCTCACATCCAGTTCACCATCGAAAAAGAAGATGACAATCAATCTGTTCCCTTTCTGGATTCAAGATTGATTCGTACCAATGACAATTTATTACTGGTAGACTGGTACAGGAAACCAATTTCGTCCGGAAGGTTCCTGAACTTCAGGTCTTACCATGAACTTAAAATAAAAATAAACCTGGTGAAACAAATGAAGAACAGCGTTATAAAAAACTCTGACAGTACTTTCCATCTTTCCAATTTAAGGAAGCTTTCAGTCTTATTTATCAACAATGGCTATCCGAAGTATTTGGTTAACAGAATCTTGTTCAGTTCTCCTCCGAATATTTTGCCAATCACTAATAACAATAGTGGAAAAATGACAACACGGGTCAATCAAACCAGATACCCATTATTTCTTCAACTAATGAGAACAACAGCACTACAGTGGTTGCTCCTACTTCCAGAGTTAACTATGTTGTCTTGCCATACATCAAAGAACTAACACCAAAATTGATCAGGCTGTATAATCCCTTTAATTGTCGTTTTGCTTGTAAATAAGTTCTCACAGTCAACAGTTTGTTGTCCAAAATGAAAGATAAGGTTCAGTTGCTTGATTCAACCAATACTGTCTATCGTATTAATTGCAACAACTGCAATTTAGTTTATATAGGCCAGACTTCTAGGTCGCTGAAAGGCAGGATAACGTCACACAAAAGTGATGCCAGATTACATCCAGAAAGATGTGCTTTGGCGTCGCATATTAACAACACAGGTCACTCTGTGAATTATGGCAGTATTGAGGTTCTTGATAAAGAAAAAAGAGTCTCAATACGTCTATTTTTAGAAATGTCCCACATTTTCATGACAGATCATTGCATGAATAAAAAGGCTGATGTTAAGTGTCATTTATTCATACCTGTTGAATTGCGAAAAGCTCGAACGGCTACATGTCCAAATTGATCCAACATCTTCACAAAATTAGAATACATTTTCTCACTCACATTTTTAATATAAACTCACATAACCCATCTTTTCAAGGTTGTATCAATATCACACATTCTCATAAATGAACCACACACTCTTTTCCAAAACAAGTTATTCCAGCATTTTAGTAATTTTGGGTGGAGATTTACCGAGCGTCCCTCGTATACTTCATACCCAAAGTTGGACAGCTAGGTGTACATTTCCACGTTCCGTCGCGTCAATCACTTGTCTTCTGTCGACGCTTTACCGTTCCGTGCCTTTCCCCCTCTCCACGTGTAGCGGTAGTAGAAGGTTAGGGACTGCATTCCGATTGTTTCAACAAAATGTCTCCCCTCGTGTAATATTTTTAGCTTGTTCGGGTTTATTGATATAATTTTTATTTTTTCTTAACTTTTAACGAAGGTATCTGTCGTTTTTAACAAGCCCAATGTCCCCGTCCTTTTGTTTTTATACTGAACACAAGTTCGATCTTCTCTACGTTCTTTCTGAAACACCTTGTGGCTGCAACCTCACCGACGGGTAAGTTGTCGTGACATTTTAAATCTGTCTTCTTTGCTAGCGTCACAATTGTGTTTTCAGAATCCTGATGATGGCTCCATAGAGAATGCCGAAAGCTTGATTTTATCGTCAAAAGAGTCAACTTTAGCCTAAAAGTTTTGCCAATTCCCCAACTAACAAGTAATTGTATTTTGTACCTATATATATATATATATATATGAGCAGTAGCCATTGCCAAAGCCAATGACCAGTTGGGCACAAAATACAATTAATTGTTAATTGGGAGATTGGCAAATTTTTAGGCTTAAGTTGACTCTTTTGACGATAAAATCAAGCTTTCGGCATTCTCTATGGAGCCTTCACCAGGATTTAGTCGTTGGGGTTGCAGCCACAAGGTGTTATTTATATATATGCCCTTAAAACTTGGACTTTTATTAATTATTTACGTTTGTCTGCTACGAATGCTGAGAAATAACGGAATGATGATTCGTATATTCGCGGATGCAACGCCACGTTGCTGGGCGGTCGGTAGTGCAGTAGGCAGGACAATGGACTCATTTTAAGAGCCTGTTTGATTGGCATGATCTATTTAATTCCTTGTGACCAATTGTTGTGAATTGATAACAACATAGAAAGTCTAGGGTCAACCTACTTGACGAAATTTTTTATTTCCAACTATTAGCAAGAAAAACTGGATCTATTTCATTTCACTCTAAAGATAGTATAGAATGAAATCAGTTAGTCAAGCCTTACTTATCTTTTTTAGGTTTGTCAACCTGGATCATCGCCTTCATAGCAGTCTTAGGTGGATTGGCCTCAGCCAACATTCTTAGGTTCTCTTCTATCGGAAAGCCAAGACTCATTAAACTGATCCACCTTCTGATCGGAGTAACAGCGTACATTCTAGGCATAGTTACTTTAGGATACGGCATCGCCTACCTGGGAGTCCCAGAAAATGGAAGGACCTTCCTCATAGTCTTGATGGCTATTTATGTGGCTTACAGTCTGATAGGACCGTGTTTGTCAGTGTACAATTTTATCAAAGATTAGCTTCGATAATATATTGATAGGATCAACTGTTTTGTATTTATAATTTGATATATTTTATATACAGATTTAGTTTAAAATGTGTAAGAAGATTAAATTGATAATTTAAGTAACTCCCGAAATTGTTCTGGCGGATTAATGAGTGCAATCTAAAGTGTCTAGGTTTTGATTATTAAAAAAAGTGGTTAATCGAGAAATACCCTGTAAGTATAAGAACTTAAGGAATTTCAGAAAATCTATTATCATGGCAAGCATTCATTGTGAAAAAAGTGGCTAATCAAGGAATAACCTAACCTGTATGTATAAGATATATGCCATCTTTGAAATTGAACAGGGTGGCCCACTAAGAATGCGAGGTACTGTATCAGAAAACCCGTCCATCATAGAGGCTTGCGGCAAAAAAAATTCTTACTAAAACGGCCAAGAGATCTGGAAAATATTTTCTAGTTTCTAAAATGGCCGCTAGGGAGCGTAACTGCAATCTTAAAACTAAGAAAGTGATGGTTTTGTCAATTCCGCTATATTAACGTAACCAAAAATTACCTGATCTTTAAAGTCGAGGATAATGTGAACTTTTGTTTAACAATTTTTGCTGTATCTCTAAAAAAAAGTGGTGAGGGGTATGCAAAGGTTTCCGTAAAAAACTTGAGCTAGTTCTAGGGCTACAAATTTAAGTGCATAGGTTTGGTTTTTTTCTATGAAGAAGCTAAGAGCCATATCATCAGTCGTTCCTACAATTGTAGGACGCCTTTATGACTTCCTTGATTTTCATAGCCTTTTTTCTCCTAAAATTTAGGCCAAAGAAAATTCTATTCGGAAACCTCTTAAATTTAATTTTTTTTAAACTAATTTTTCTGCAATTCTTTTTGATTCATCGGAATAAAATCACCATTTTTGAAAATATTACAAATATCGCTAAAAGGTAAGTAAGGCTGAAGACAAAAGGCGTATTTTTTGTTTAAATACATATTCACTATGGGTATACACGAAAAAGACAATTAATGGAAGCAGGCCATGGAATACAACAAAACAAATACCAAATCAAAACATTAATAATCCTCAAATTTTCAACAGTTTCGCGTTCCTTTCAACTGCAAATAATTGGAAGAACACAAGAAAATATTAACCGCGTACTGGAATACTCATGTTAGTAAAAGGGCATTATCCCTTGAGAGTTGGGCGTATCACGAACAACGGTTCAAAATGTTTTGAAGCACCATATGTGAATTCTAATGGCCATCAAAACATAGGGGTTTATTTAAATTTAGGCGTTGAAAGAGGAAGACTTAGATCGGACTTTGGATAATTGCCATTGGGCGTTAGGCATAATACTTACACGAAAATAGAGAATTTTTATTTCAAATTCTTTGGACCGATCAAGCCACCTTTAATAGTGACGGGACAGTCAATCTGCACAATGTGCATGATTGGTCTGCAGAAAGTCCGCATTGGATGCATGCAGTTCAGCACAAAGGGCGTTGGAGTTTCAATGTGTGGTGTGGCATACTGGGAGGCAGAATTATTTTTCGAGAAATCCCTAAATGGCAACGTCTCTCTTGACTTTTTCGACAATCAATTACCGTTGTTGTTGGCAGATGTGCCACTGGAAAGACGGCAAAACTTCATTTTGCAGCTGGATGGTTGCCCAGCATATTTTCTATTATTGGGCGAGACCATATTAATGCAGTATTTCAACAGCGGTGGATCGGAAGAGGAAGTATGTTTCCATGCCCCTCGCGATCACCAGACTCAACTTGTCTTGATTTTTATTTATAGGTTAAAGGACATACTCAACCTACAACCAGAGAAGATATGAAAACCGGATTCGTAATGCGAATACCGAGAACCGGAATTGAAGTTTTGTCTACCCAGGAATGCATAGAGCGTGATGCTCAACATTTCGAGCATTTACCGGGGCGTTAAAAACCTTCCTTTTTAAATCAGTATCTTTTAGGGCCACAACTTAATAATAAACAGAAATTCCAGAAAAAACAGTTTAGAAAGATAAAAGTTTAAGGGATTTCCGTATAAAGCTTTCCTTCGCCTAAATTTTAGGTTAGGAACAAGATACCGAGATGCGGTTTTCGCTAGCTTATTGAGACATCATTTAGCTACTTTTACATAAAAAAATCATACCAATGCATTTCGTTTTTTTTTTGGGAAATTCGGCAATTTCTGTCGGAATGTCGAAAAAAGCCCTCTAGTGGCCACATGTGGAACTAACAAAACTTCAAATATTATAACATTTGTAGCTCAAGAATAGCTCTTTCCATCTAGTCCAAGTTTGTGAAAATCGGCTCAGCCGTTTCGAATATACAGGGCGTACTCTACGGAAATCTTTGACCACTTTATTTTTAGAGATACAGCAAAGATTGTTAAACAAAAAAGTTTTTATCCCCGACGTTCAGGATCAGGTATTTTTCTGTTAGATTAGTGTAGCGGAATTCACAGGAACACCACTTTTTAAGACTCAAAATTCTACTTGAAAATATTTTCTAGGGTCTTGGCCATTTTAGTAATAACTGTTTTTTCCGCAAGCCTGGATAGTTTCCCAGATATAGTATCTCGCATTCTTAGTCGGCCACCCTGTAATTTGAAGAATGTTATCGAGATGACTGTAATGTCAGTAAATTTTTCGACTCTGTACATGTGCATTGATTTGGAGGTCAATGGAGATTCATCAACGAAACAACCATCGGAAAAGATTCAGATATTACATTAACATACACTGCCGTGCAAAAGCTTCTGTGCTCTTGATGATTGATATTTAAAATTGAGAAAAGAAGTGGAAGCAGGGTCATACAGAGGAAGAATATTTTAATATGATCCTCTTATTGTTAATATTACACCCTTTAAGACGATATGTACCTCAAATAATGACAGTAAATGCTATCATATCAGTATATATTTATATTATGGTTATACCTAGTTATAAGTTACATTTCCGTTTTTGACAACATCGTCATATTTGCGAGCACAAGTTTTCTGAGATTTTTTGGCGAGAAACAGTTGTTAAAAGATTGAAGTTGACCCAGGCGGATCAAGAGATGACGCGGTTCCACATATTAAGGTGAAAGAGCTGAGCGGTGGCGGAAACCAAGCAGAAGCAGAAAACATGGGTCCACTGACGCAGATGTCATCGGAGCAGAAAACCATTGAAAAACTTATGCTGATTATAGACGACCAGGCGAGGTAGATCCGAGACCTAATGGAGACTATCAAGGACCAAACAGCCAAAACTGACAGCCTGACCGCCCAGGTAACAATATTAGTAAACTCGAAAGAATCCCCTGAAGAACGGGAAAACACTCTGAAAAGACCACAGAAACGTCACTGACGATCATTTCACATCCCTAGACGAAGACCTACAGACCGACGGATTTGTAACAGTGAAATCAACAAGGAGGAAGGGCAACAAGACCGATAAGCCAACCCAAGACTTTTCTCCTCTTCCGAATACAGCACCAATTCCATTTCACACCTCCCCCACTTCAACAAATCGAAACACCTTTAATGCCTCTACTAACAAATCATTGATATCGGTCAGCACAGGGACCACATTATCTACCTCTCAGATGACTCCGTCGGCCGATGTTACTTCTCCCCCGTCATATCGTCCAACCGTCGTGGCATCAACACAACCCTCACGCCAAGGACGCGTAACCCCTATCGTTTTACGCGACGGGGCGAGGTGGCGTACTTTAAATTTCAAGTTCACTTCCCTAGGTATTAAAATAGATCGCGCGGTTGCCGTTGAGGTGGGAATAAGGATTATTCCTAAATCCGAGGACGACTACCGTAAGATCGTTCGTCTGTTCTCAGAGGAAGAAGTACCCCATCACACTTTTCCTCTCCATTCGGAACGGAACATCTATACGGTCATTGGAGGAGATCCAGTTCATTTTTCGGATACTGAGATTAAGGAAGAACTTGAGCAGAGGGGATAAAGCCCTCTCCACATCATTCGATTGAAGCGCACCCGCGGAGCGCCCATGCCTTTGGTGGTCGTGCTACTGCCAAGACTGAAAAGTCTCAGCAAGTGATCAACGAACACGAACTGCTGGGACTGGCCATTCGAGTTGAGATTCAGAAGAACTCCAGACTCATTGGACAGGGTGACCGCTGCCAAAAGTACGGGCAAGCGCAGTCATATTGCACTGCACTGCCAAAATGTTTAAAATGTGCGAAGGACCACATGACGCATTTGTGCCCCCTCACAGAAGAGGAAGACCGCAAGTGCGCGAACTGTGGAGACGGACATCCCGCAAATAACCGAACTTGCAAGTCTACTCCAAGGAGGAACCTGCAAGTTATAGCGCAAATGCGCATTCTGTCATACACGGACGCAGCGAGGGAGGCAACCTTGCCTGCCCCCTCTGCCCAACCTTCCTTGAGCACGCAAAATATGGACTTGACAACCGCGCTAAGCTCCTTACAACAAATAATAAGCCCACTGATTAGCGCTACCTAAGCGTTGCAGCCGATCTTTCCTGTAAATGCTTAGGTACAATAGTAGACAGCCTACAATCATCAAAATTCTTTTTTGGAATTATTTGGGCATAAAGGATATTCCCAAACAACGGGAACTTCATCAAGCTCCTTTGGATGAAAGTATAGATGTGGCCATGCTGCCGGAAACGCTGCGTAATCCGGGAGACCGTTTAGTTCTCCCGAATTATGATGATATCCGAGGTGACAGATTGAATGGTCGAGGTGGCGGCTTAGCACTATATGTCAGGTGTGGTGCCAGGCTATAAGAGGTGGATCTGAAGGTCCCTTTGGACTACTCTGGTCCGCTTATTGTGGCAGGGTACTTCAACTGTAAACACCGAGCTTGGAATTCTAGGTGGAATTCCACTAGTGGGATTCGGTTGTACAACCATGTGATGCAAAATAGGTATACCTTATTCATAGCACTGAAGACCCGACACATCATCCATTCAACCATCTTCATGCACCAAATGTCATTGACTTCGCGATATCTAAAAACAGTAGATACAGTATCTCTCCTCGAATCTTGTATGATATCTCTAGTGATCATCTACCTGTTGTCTTGGACGTGGGCAATGAGCAAACTTCTGAGGAGGAAGCTCCTCCAAGGCAACATACTGATTGGGAGATATAAAAGCTGCTCCTTAGCGAGTTTCCCAATATCCCGATCATAGATGGTGAGTCTGGAATAGATGCCGCTCAAGCGGAGACAAGTTTCATTCAAACAGCTCTACAGCGTGCAGCTGTACTTCCTGTACAACGACACGGCAGACCTTCTTTGCCTGCGGACATTCGCCAGAAAATCTCTTGGCCATGAAGTGAAAAACGCACTGCACGAATTCCGTAACGAGCAATGGAGCGGCTTCCTGGCGGGAATGCTTGATTTAAGAATTCCTCTCTGGAGGGTATCAAAGTCACTCAGAAACGAAAAGCGAGAACAGCTCCCGCATATCCACGGTCTTGAAGGCATAGTCTTCAGAACGGAGGATAAGGTCGAGGTTTTCGCTGATGCCATGGAAAAACAGTTCTCTCCCAACTAAAATCTTGATAATGACCTCGACGAGGAACAACACATCGTACGATCCGTCAGGAGATATTTTAGGGCCAACGGCGTTAGCGGAAGGACTGAATCCTCTTCAGATGACTCTTCTTCAGAAGATTTGTCTGAGGCTCCACATTGCACATTAACGGAACCCTCCAAGGTTCCACATTGCACACCAGCGGAGCTCCTGTCATATTGAAGACCTCAAGGTGCGTAAAGCACCCGGGAAGGATCAAGTCATCAACAAGGCGTTGAAGCTGCTATCGCCGAAAGCTCTGGCATATTGGGTGAAAATAATCAATGCAATGCTCAAAATCCAGTACTTCCCTGCTGGGTGGAAGACTGCTGAGGTCATCATGATTTCAAAGAAGATGGGTTCGATATTTTCTCAGGATTACCCTCCCATTAGTCTGCTGTCAGCTCCTTCTAAGCTCGCCGAAAAGGTGATTTGATTTGAAATTGAGTTTGATAAATAAAGTTCGCCTATATAAACTGATAATTTGATCAGCTATTACTTGTGCATGTACGGCTTGGTGTTTTCTTGCTCCATGGTATGTCTCAAACGAGACACTACACAGAGACTTTGACATTCCTTACTTGAGGGATTATGTGAAGCTTCAGACGCAGCGACGTTATAGTCAAGCGGAATCGCACAGCAACCCTCTGATCCATGCCTCAGAGGACTACACAGTGGAGCAAGTTCGTAAGCATTCAAGGCCACGGCTAGCACTGTAATCAAAAAGTAACGCGAACTTTAAGTAAACTTAAAATTACACTCTAACAAAACCGAATCAAGCTTTGTTTAGTTCACCTCAAAATTAATCCGTGTACCAAGAAAAAAAGCCTGAGAGTTTCCTTTTAAACTAAACACTTGTTTTTCTTTGCTCTTCTCCTTTTTTCTTCTCTTTCCCTTTCTCTTTTTCCTTGACATTGTCTGGTTTCTAGGCAACCAGGACTGACTGATTCGACTAACGTACATTAGACAGTGACTAATGGGCAAAGGTCCTACGGACCGCCCAAACAAACAAATGACGAATAGTAAGTTACATTTACATGTGTTTTAGACACTTCCAATTCACTAAGGCATACTTCAAATGACCCATGTTCGACGCGCGACGAGGTCGCATGGGTTTGTTGAGTCGGCATTCAGATGACAGGAGAAATTTTATACAGAATGGAAGGTAAGCCAGTGTCAGTTTATTGTATTGATTTACAGAACGAGAATAAATATGGAAGAATCTATTTGTGCTTTGTTAACATACGGAAGAATGAAAGGGTGTACAAGGGAAAGGGTATACTGGGCTCATTCGAGGATTTCATAGGAAGTAAACTTAAATAAGTTCCTTTCCTACGCTCCGTCCAAACCTTTAAAAACATGAACTGGATCAACTTACTACCTCATAATGACAATATAATCGTTGAATGACAGGATAGAATGATTCTAATTATCATCGTTATTGTTATTACTAAATATAAATGAAGTAAGAGATTATGGCACCTTATTTGAATATAACCTACAAAGCGCAGGCCACTTTTCAAACGTATTCATCGAAGGATCTTAATTACATTCATTCGGTGTCCATTTCAGTACCATTAGGAAGAAAGCAATGTTTCACACACCATTTAAGTAGACTCAACGGAACGAAACACGAGCGCCAACTGCGTAGGCAATGGGAATGTCTAGTATCATAATACGTGCGTCAACGCTGACTGGCGCGCGTCTAGTAGCGTAGTGGGGGCGTACAATTTCTTACACGAGCTAGTGTTGGTTCTGTATATTTTCAAAGCAAGAGTCAAGTGAACTCGTGGAGCATGGAGCATTTTCGACCCTCACCATTGGGATGTCGGAATCTGTAAGAGATACGAAGTCGCCTAAATGGGAGCAAAGTTGTGTAACTTGACAATAAACAAAATGCTGCTTAGAAAGTTTCTGAATTCAGAGTGCTTCCGGAGAGAGACGGAAAAAACAGAATTTTCCCAAAATCGTTTTAATTTTTGGGATTTCAAAATGTATTGCACATTAACATTGCCACTTTTTCTCCTCTACAAGGAGGCCATAACTAGAATTTCCTCCAGACTTAACTTTATTTTCTCCTATAGACGTCACACTGGATTTTTGCACAGGTTGATAGAGTTTTTAATTCTGATTTCAAAAATGTATAATACGTCATACATAATTGTTTCACATACCAGATTTATTCCAAAATCACTTTTATTTTTGGAGATCGCATTTTAAAATTAATTGCATGTTGTCATTTTGTTACTCATTCTCCTCTACAATATGAAGAATTTTTAGAATTTCAATACGACGTTTCATCTCAAAGGTCCTACAATGACGAATGTTAGTCATCAACAATCTATGTGATTTAACTTTTTAAGTTAACCCATTCAAACTGTGTAAAAACTGTTTATTTAAAAAATTATCGGACCACAAATGCAAACCTCTTATCAGTCGCCATTTTCAAGATAAGCGAATGGACTTGACCCTGCATTTTGTAATGCCATAATGATCGTAATTTTTTTACCAGAGAGGTGCGTTGCAGGTGTTTGTTATTTGGGGTACATATCAGACAAGGGAGTAAAAAAACAATGATGACATGGTATTTAATTACTTTTCCTCTATATGAGCCAGATTCTATTTCTTATACCATTCATTAACATTTGATCGGCATTGTATATGGACTCTCATTTTTGTGGCTGGAGCTTAAAAATGGTCCGTCTTTTGGTATTTCGAACAACCTCACTAAGATCTGTTGTAGGAAGCATATCGTCCTCTGGGGTGAATTAACGCAAATGAGTCATTTAAAAACATTTATTTCTAATAAATAGATATATAGCCTAAGAGTTAATACTTATTTTGATAGATATCAACCTTACACCTAACGTAAATCTGCCCAATAAATAACTCTACATAATAAAAATACAAGTTGGCAAGTGCTTCTTTTGCTATCTCAAAAAATTACATATATCAGTAAACTCGGCAGTGCCCGGTTAAGCAAGTTATAGATATAAATCGGACAAGAAATTATTCGTTATATTATAAATGCAGTTGTCATATCATCTTACGCTCAAAAAATGTAAATAGAGCATATTACAAATTAAACGTAATTCGTAGGTAATAGGTAATCTGAAAGAAATTAGAAATAAACAGCTTTTGAAAACAAATCCAAAAATACACCAGTGTTAAGAATATTAGGTCTACTTGTCTACTTTATAATGAATTTTCGAATGTGATTCCAAACTTTTAAAAATAGAAACGTAAGATATGTTACACTACTCTTCAAATAAAGTTAAACTACAAATAGTTATAATCACAGATATCTATTTTACATATTGAAAAGAGTATTTTTGTATGTGAAACATACGTGGTATCTGTTTACCAATTTTGCCACTGTTAGGTAAAAGTGTCTTATTTTTTTCATTTCAATTATGATACGAAGAATTTTCGCATTAAATTTTTTTCTGTAAGCATTAATAGTGAAGTATAATTTCTATTTTTATACGTATACTTTATCGTCTAGACAATCTAGAGCGTTGTTACATAGAATTCGTACGTAAATAAATGTTCAAATTGAACATAGTAGAAAAAATGAAAATCATTAATACAAGTTCATTTGACTGGCAAGCAAAATACTACGTCTAGGAGTGGCAAAAATATAGTTAAGTAAGTTATCATAATCTCGCATATTTCACGTAAGTTTCACAATAAACGAGGTGAATGAATTTTAAAAATGTATTCGTATGCTTTTATGCATGTACCATATGCACATTCATATTAGTCACTATCACACATAGTAAAATTTTGACCTCGACACATTTTAGCTCAGCAGTCGTAAATTTCTTTTCTTTAATGCTTGATTTCCATAAGAATACTGCGCTCTTTGAATCGCAGTTTCTAGGGCTGACTCCTCGCCAATAAAACATGGGAAAATAGCTATATGGTTTCTCGCGTTAGGTTTTTGTGGTCCCTTGTTTCTCGCTGTATCTCCGGCTCGAGAACAGTTAAAGACAACTGTGCGAGAAAACAATACAGCTGTTGGCGTCAGTTTAGAAACCCTTCAGACGACGAGATCAAAATTTTACTACATTCCAAACATTAAATCTGACTGTCAATTCTGTCTACGTCTGAACTATTTGACATTACAATGGTTTAGTCGAACAGATCCTGTGCCCTGCGGCAAGACTCACAACAGTGTGTTGTGTAATAAGGATAATGACATAGCCTTGCTTGTACTGCTAACTTGCATTTGCGGATCCTGTCAACACACGATCCTGTAACATACAACAGACAAAACATTAATTACATGACTATTATTTTTTTGAAGATTTTGACTTTCAAATGCTCGATTTTGCTACACGGGGATGAACATTTAAATCGCGGATCAATATTGATCAATCAGAAGCAAATATCAAATGCACATTGTACATAATAGAAACAGACCTAAATCAAACATAAAAACCTGATAATATCCTTTCTTGATTTTAATAGCGATTTGAGTCTATTTCTGAGAGGTATTAGAGAAGAGATCGACAACATTCATCAGATCCGTTACTTCAAAATCGCTATCTCATTGGTCAATTTTGATCCGCGGTTCTGATGCTTGAGTCAAATGGAAAAATAGATTTTTGTAGCTGAACTAAGTGATTTATTAAGAATCTCCTGACAATATGGGTATTACACGCTCTTCTTACATAAATCGTATAATTTTTCGACAGTTTCAGAGGTATTTTAGAAGAAATCGATTATACTCATTAGATTTATTACTTCAAAACCTCCTTCTAATTGGGCAATCTCATCCCCACGGGTTAATAGCAAAATTGAGCCTGAATGTTATCCTGGATAGTAAAAAATGTGGAATATTGCTGTATTGTAAGACCATGTTCACATTTAGCTGAAAATCATAAAGATTTCCAAAAGTTCTTTTGTCATAACGCCTTTTTAGTCGGGCGATCTTCGTGTGTTTTTCTAATGTCCCTAAGGTAGTACTCACGATCAGCTGGCTCATCTTGTGCAGGTTTATATTTTTCCCGACTATCTGTAGCAGCCTTTACTGGACATGCGCAGGTACGTTTTGAAACCGGCATATCCTCTGCCGCACAACCATTGTGCCTTTTGCCGTGAGAATCCAGGCATTTCACTTCTCTACGCTGTACCCCAACCTGAAAAAATAAAAAAACTAAATGAATATTGAGTGTCAAGAACCAGAGGGTTTGTTTTTTTTTCTTTTCGGAAATATCGAGTTACCCAACATTTCCAAAACTTCCGAGAATTCAGAAGATCGCAAAAATTCCAAGCCCGAAAATCTCGAATAATAATAATAATAATAATCGTCTTTATTGACCAAAACATGGTACATTACATGGGGCGAGATTTAGCACCTGCTATTCCACCATCTAACCCCGTACAAAAGTAAAAAAAAAAAACAAGTTATACAAAAACAAACAAAAAAAAAATGTGAAACTACAAACATTAAGTCACAGTATAATAGGACTATTTATGCCAATTTAGCTATAAAAAGAAGAAGAGATAATAGGTTACATTATAATAGGACTACTTGTGCCAATTTAGATATAAAAAGAAGAAGAGATAATAGGTTATGAAGAAACGGAAAAATAATTAATGAAAAATACAAAAAGTATGAAAATGAAAGAACTTCCTAAGCTAGCGGTTGTTTTGCAATTCTTGTAAATATCTTTTTAACTGAGTTTTAAAACTCCGGGAGGACTGGATAGTCTTCAGATCCTGGCTTAAGCTATTGTAATATAAAATTGCATTGTATGTGAAAGTTCGTCTAAAAAGTGATGTGCGGTGTATTGGCATAGTTAAGGTGTCACGGTTACGAACCTGAAGATTATGCACAGACGCCCTTGGAACAAGTTTACAGCTGAGGTATTGAGGGAATGATGTTAGTATGATCCTGTGAGTAAAGCTGATAATGGAGTATTTGAAAAGGTTTTGAACGCTTAGCCATGCAAGATTACGATATAAGTGTGATACATGATCGAACTTTCTTAGGCCCTCGATAAACCGTACACAGGTATTCTGCATTATCTGCAAACGTTTTGCGTTAATAGACGTCAAACATGGGTAATATATGGATAAGCCATATAACATTTTAGAAATAACTAAACTTTGACACAATTTAATTTTGATGTTTCTATGCAGAATATGTTTGTTTGCAAATAGAAGCCTGAGGGATAGATAACATTTTTTCAAGACATTATTCAGATGGGAGTTAAAACGTAAGTCCGAGTCAAAGTGAATGCCCAAATTTTTTACTATTTCAGAAAAAATAATTTCCTCCCCATTAACTTTGATGTGAATTAATGGTTTAAGGTTTTCACATAATCTTTTATTGCCAAATAATATAGCAGAACATTTAGAGGGATTTAGTCTCAAGTTGTGAGAGCTGCAGTACCTATTAACACTATCCAGATCCGCATTTACTAGCATCATGGACTCCTGGACATTGTCGGCATTAAAATCACACTTCATCTGCGTATCATCAGCAAAAAATTGAGCATGTGTATTCTTGAAGTTATCATGTAAATCTGCAGTGTAAAGTAAAAACATCAATGGTCCCAGTACTGAACCTTGTGGAACACCTGACTGAATGTACCTTGATGTCGAAATTTGATTATTGATATTTACTTTTTGCCTACGTTCCCTTAAATATGACCTAATAAAGTTGCAGGCAACTTCATCGAAGCCATAGTAGTGGCACTTGGCAACAAGCAGTCGATGGTTAAGCGTATCGAAGGCCTTGGAAAAGTCTAACAGTACCAGCAAGCTCATGTTTTTACTGTCGATGGAAGATATGATGCTATCAATGAGATAAGACAAGGCTGTAGTTGTACTGCGGTTTTTCTGAAAGCCTGATTGATGGGTGGGGATTATATTATGTGCATTGAGATGATCTAGAATCTGTGTATGAGTTACTCGTTCTAAAATTTTAGACATTATTGGCAATATGCTTATTGGTCTGAGGTCAGCGATGGATATCGGATTAGACAATTTTGGCAGAGGAGTCACCAGAGCTGTCTTCCAAAGGTCGGGAAAGTATCCAGTTTCCAAGCAAATATTAATAACATGTAGCAGATGAATGCCAATTACTGGAAAGCATAACTTTAACATTTGTAACGTGATACCATCCGTTCCAGAAGCATTGGATTTTATACTGCAGATAACAGTTTTAATCACATCTAAATCAACTAGCTTAAAAGAAAATGAATTTCTTTGCAAAAAGTTATTTGTTCTGTAGTAAAGTATTTTTTCAAAGCACGCTTCATCACTGTTTTGAAAAACTGAGGTAAAGTATTCATTGACTTTGTAAGGGTCTGTGAGTGTTGATGGGATTTCAGAAGATTTAATTGCTTGAACGCGCATATTTCTTAAAGATTTGTATAACAAAGAGGAATATCTCTGATTTTGTAAATGATCCAAAAAGGCAGACTTTTCATTCCGTAACGACTGTAATGCATAATTTCTCAAAGATTTGTAATTATTCCAATTTTGAACAGACGGATTGCTTTTAAATTTCGACAGCGCTTTATCTCTTTCCTTGAAAATTAACTTCAAATTGGCGGTCAACCGTGGTGCTTTCGGTCTAGTGACACGCACTGTCCGAATTGGGCAATGTAAATCAAATGTGGCATTGATGTTGTCAGTCAAAAATTTCAATTTGGTTTCAACGTCACTAAAGTATAAGACCTGCTCCCAGTTCATTTGATGTAAGTCTCGGTTGAAGTTATCTAAGTCGAAGTGTTTATAGTCTCTGAAAGTCACATACTTATGTACTTTATTTAAACTACAAAGTAGGTCACAGAAAACCATTTGATGGTCACTAATGATATCAGCGTTGATGGTACCCTTGTCACCGCAAACCTCAACATCAGACAGAAATATGGGATCCAAGAGAGTGCTACTTGTCTCAGTAATACGAGTGGGATCTTCGATAATTTGTGTAAAGCCATATGATTGAAAACATTCACTGATTTTATTTTTTTTCAATAAGTTAACGTTTAGATCACCTAACATGAATAAATTGTCGTATGCAGTTACTAGGCCAGGCAGCAAATTATCGAGACATTCGATAGCATACAAAACATTTGCACTCGGAGGTCTATACATTACACCCAGGCAGTAACTACAGTGACCAATTTTAAATTTAATGAACATATGCTCCAAGCAAGCATCTGTGTAAGAAGTAAGTACCTCGAACTTGATGTTGCTTCTAATATAAATATCGACACCACCACCACGGGATGGCCTATCATTTCTACAAAAGCTGAAGCCAGGGATATTAACAGTTTCAGAGCTAGTACATTCGGACAACCAAGTTTCCGATACAGCAACTATATCTAATTTTTTTCAAAAACTAACTCTACAAAATCGGCAAAATTGGAAAGTAACGACCTTACATTTATGTGAGCTACTCTAATATATTTTTTATGATCCATAATTGATTTTAGATTTAAGATTATTTATGTAATGTTGTAACACCAAGCAGGAACCTTCGTCATTCGACGAATGGCAAACATCATATTTAGTTTTATATTTTTCGTTACTTTTAACACAATTAATGCACTTAAGGACTTCGGACGAGCATTCTTTATATCGATGTTCACAGCTGCATGAAGAACACACAATGGACGACTTACAGTCTTTTTCAAGATGACCTATTGCACTGCACTTGAAACATCGCACCACTCTAATATGGTCAGCAACGAAGCATTTGCTGAATCCGACATATATATATTGACGTGACATAAAGAGGCTTCTCACCTCAGGTGACACCTCAAGTACCAAATGTGTAGCGTTAGGGTAGTTTAATTTCGTTACAAATTTAATTTCACGATTTTGTAGATCTTGAAGGTCATTAATAGATGGAATATTGTCAATAATGTCAGCGACACTGGAGTTTTCAGGAATCTGAATATTTTTAACCATAATTCGGGGATTATACAGCTTAGTATTACTAACTTCATATTTCCTTCCTGATTTGTTAGAAACATGTTCCTTTAGTTTTAACAACGATTTGTCATCATCGCAGCAAATAACTACGCCATTGCGAATTTTCTTGATACCACTTAAACACAGTTGAAGATCCTTGGGGTTAATATTATTTTTAATATCATTCAACACGTCAGTATTAGATATCGAGTTATTGTTCGATTTAACAATAATCCCAGCTGATGATAGTATGTGTTTATTTTGACTTTTTTTGGCTGTGCTACAAGAAACAGTACCTGTGTTTGCCTGGTTAAGAAATGGTCCCCTTGTTTTTGCAGCGTAGGATGATGATTCACTGCTTGTAAATGATAATTTTTCCTTGAGGAGCTCATTGTTGCATTTTAATTCACTGTTAAGGTTCACTAGTAACTCTTTCTCACGATTGAGGCATTCTACTTCATGACGAAGCACTATAACGTCAGTCGCTGGAGTATTAGGTGTCGACTTGCACTTTATGGTACAACCTTTGGACCTCCAATTTTTCCTTTCGGTGAAGAATAACTTAGCGATATTCTCAAAACATTTTGTATGAAGAGATATACTGCAATTTTCTGCATCGCACGTAATACCACCCGATTTACGTATTTCATCGCCACAAATTTCACAGATTTTGTCGCCCCGGCTCAAAGCGACATCTGCACCGGCCGGCATCTCCGAGCGGTATCGCGTATTACTGTTACATTGTATTGCTTTTCCTTCTTTTTCCTTCTCTTCCTCTCCTTCTGAATGATTTTGATTTTTATTTTTCTTTCTTACACCTTGACTCATATCAAATGCGCTACTGTTTTGTTCTTTTTCTTGCCTTCAGCCTAGTTATATCCTACTGCTTTATTCTTAGCGCCCTGCGGATACTGACTCGTGCGACTTTTACAATTTGACACAAGTGTCACAGAATATATGGGTTAAAATGGTTAAAAACCATTCTGCGGCTCCAGAGTACACCACCAACAGTTCCACGGACGCGATTCTTTCCGATATCGAAGTGAATGCTACTGCTTTAAATTATCTTCAAGTCTTGTGTGAGATATTCAGGTATTTATAGCGATCGAAATGACTGATGTGATCTATACTATACTCGGAAGATTCTGAAAATTCACAAAATTTCCAAAAAATTCAAAATATTCAAATACTCACCGGACATGAATCTTCACACTGTCCCCATTCACCTACGAACCAATGTGGTGGACAGCTGCCTTCACACGCTTGTTCCTCAGATGGTTTCAGGTGTGCAGAGCAAGTCATTTCGTTGGTAATGTGCGACTGGCCTCGGATCTTCACTATGCAGATTACTTCCCTTTTTTGTTTTGCTCTTCCCGGACATGAATCCGAACATTTTCCCCATGGACCTGAAACATTATCACATTTAATTTTTCGATTTATTACTTGCTCAACATAACTTTGCCGAAAGGAATACGAGATTTCCAAGATTTTAGTATACTCCGAATACTTTTCAGTCTCTATCAAATATTATCAAGATCCAGTTGAAGAAAACTGAAGCAATACTAAATTTGTCTCTTGAAACACATTTTTTTTGTTTCCAACATTTTGTCAAAAAAAACAAACGATAAAAGAAAAATAACAAATTACTGCCTGTTGGACCAATACTATTTATCGTTATTTTAGACGCGAACATAGTTTAATTTGAAAGATTTTCATTTAAGTAAGTACTTCAACCCTGTTTAAAATTTAATAAAATGTGTTTAACTTAAACGACCAATTTTAAGATCGAATAATTCATATTTAGTCTTCAAAAATTAATTTTATTGGCCATGATGATATGTTAAACGATGATTTCTATATCCTTAAACTGATAAATAGTGATTTTTATTAAAGAATTATTCAGAGACCAAAAACAAAAACTATTTCCAATATATTATAGTAAGTATGGCATTTTTTAGGAAATTTAGTTTGTACTGTTTTGAATATTCTGCCTGAAATTGAGCCTGCATTTACATATGTGACACGCTGTCGATCGGGACGACGCGATGCAACAACGGCTTTCATACACCGAACCCTGCCTTGTGTCTGGCAGCATCGCCAGCGGTGATGTTATGTTACAGTATCGTGGCTAGTATACAGGGTGACTTCGAAGTTGAGTCATTTATTTTAACAGTGAGTAGATCTGATCAAAAGATATGTTTTTTCCTTTAACATTTTTTTGGTAAAATTAAAGTAACAAAGTTATAGCCCTTTAGAAGTTTGAGTACCGCCCTGTCTCAATAATAATATTATGTGCTCGTGTTTGGCATCAACGGATATAATCCGCCTTATCGGTTCATCGCATGGGAAACAAAAAAGCGAAAGAATTTGAAACGCGATGTCTTTACTACAATTTTATTCAGTTGTATTCAGTCAATGTGTCAGTCGGTAACGCGTGAGTGAATAGTGGTGTTTGTTGCGTGGCTCAAACGAAATAAAAAATGGCACATGTTTACGAAAATGCTGAACTTGTGGACATGATTCTTATTTACGGGGGGGGGGGGAGTCTTTACAAAATGCTGCCGCGGCATCACGAGTTTATGCGGATCGGTTTCCCAATCGAGTGCAACCAACCCCCTTTGTTAATATAGTACGAAGGGCTCGTGAATCAGGTGACTTAAGACCTCACAGGGGAGGGCATGCCTGTGCTCCAAGACCGCACGATCAAATACAGCTCCGCACTGAAGTACTTGTCGAAAGGATACTTTATAAAACAAGGTAACATTTTTTTTATTTTTACACACATATTTTGGTTTATCTTCCTTCTACAATCATTATCTGAAAATTAAAGACTCAACTTCCAAGTCACCCTGTATATGGCGTGTTTGACTGGTGTGGTCCAGCATCGTTGTCAGATGGTTGGTACTTAGGGCAGGGAAGTAGCTAGGGTTAGCAGATGGATGAGGACTAAGTTTTTCCATAGAATGTTCTTAGGATGCTGCCCTACTCGTATCATGCAGGTTAGGCTTAGGTAAGGTGTGAGGAAATGAGCTTTTTTTACTACCAACCCAAGAAATCACCATTATTGGTCGCAATTCCTCATTAAGAAATAGCATTTCTCTCCCTATATGTGAATGATGAAAAGAAACAAAAACACAGTAGGCATATGTGTCAATTTCATTCAGTTTGACAGCTGAACTTCATGTTCCGAAATATTTTAGATCAATTGAAAAATAAGTAATTTTGAGAATAGATCCTCATGCAGTTCTCTTTCTTGAAAATAATCAGAGGAAGTAAACTTTTGTATCTTATCTTATTGGATGGATCAGTCCAAACCACACCGACAAGGGTATCACGTAAAAATCGGTATGTCATTATAAAAATCGGTATTATCTAACTTGTGTTTTATTTAGTCACTAGTCCACGCCACGCGTGCTCCCTGTGAACGCCTCTATATAGAGGTATGGCACAACGACCTAGAGTATAGAATTTATAGCTATAAATGGATTTCGCTAGTGCCATCTCTGAAGCAAATGTTACATCACATCAGCACCAAACCTAGCCCAAGTGTCATGACTTTACGCGACACGTACAGCTCGTACAAGTGAACATTAAGTGAATAACAGCTAGTTCCATGGTGACAGTTTTTCGGAAAAATCTACATCATGCCAATGAAGATCGATATAATCCCACTTCTTAAGGGACGTATAGTGAGAATCATAGAGCACTTGACATAAGTCAATTTTACCTTAACGTTTGTGACTTGATAAATTTTACAATATCTTCTCCATTCAGCACTCTCAGGATTTCTTCATTTCTAAGCAACCTAATCCCTCGTCTTCTTTTATCGGTTTTATTTTTTTATCATGTATACTGTAAGTAGCTAAGAAATTCTATATTTACCTTGTATGAGGAGGTAATTATTGGTGTCGCATATTATATATACCCTTCGGCATTACGCGTCGTAGATTATAAAAGTGGTTTGTCAATAATGAGCCACCTCTCAAACTATGTTTGTAATGTACTATCATTCGCTGACTTTGATATTATTATACGAAATATATGGTCATGCGTTATCGTTATACGGAATAAAAATTAAAATTTACTAGCTGATTTCCTCCGTGTGAAATACATAAGATCACTTTTTGGAGATTTTAAATACATTGCCTATACCTTAAATTAGTAATGACATGGTCTTAGCTTTCATTTATAGTTTGTCACCTCATTCCACATATTCAGAAATTCTACTCTTCCAACAATCACCGGGAGATTACTTAGTATAATACTTTGTTTCCTACCTGTGAACCATTGTCCTCCACATTCCTTTTCACTAGAACAAGCTCTGGAAACTTCAGGTTTACTTGAATCAGAACAGGTTTCCTCTTCGTTTTCACATAGTGCCAATCTTGTTTGATGACCTGTACCGCATGCTTCCGAGCATTGTGACCACTCAGTAACCAGCCATGATGATGAATATGATGTTATAGAATTTCGAGACTCTAAAAGGAAAATGTGTAGTTTTCTTGAATAAACGTACGAGTATGTTTCCATCATTTCACTTTAGATAAACGCTGTATAATTAGGTATGACCCATAGCATCAGACTGGGATGGAAGTACTATATCAAAATTGTGCAACGTTTTGAGAGAGCATTCTCACTTGAAGAATATCGCTGGATGGTCTTTCGTTATAAGTATTAGTCCGTAAGAAACAACAGAAGATTCTATGGTGTATGCTTTTGGTGTGTTTTGATGTTTGACTTACCTGAATCTGAAACGCTGCCCGAAAGTGACGCTGAGCAAGGTCCCATGCTGCAGTACTCGGCATGTGCAGGTCTGTGTTCTGCTTTACAATGGTGGCTTGATGGACATATCACTGATCGTGTTCTATGACCTGTGCCGCATGTCACAGAACACTGAAATTGATAAGAGCAAATTACCGAGATTCTAAAATATTGATATAATTTACTACGTCAAATACATAGAGTGATGAATTTACACATTTACACAAAAAATTAAACATACTGCTTACGTCCGCTCGACCACAGATGGCCTACCGTGGACAGTTATTTCGTGCCTTTTGGTAACTTATCAATACGGTGTAGGCTAGGGTCCCAGATCTAGCACTGAACGAAAGCATAGCAATTATCCTCATACTGAGGAAGAAGATCTTTCGAAAAAGTAGTGCCATCTATTACGAGGATCAACCACTGTGAGAGTGAACAGCAGTTATCGGTTGGAAGTGTAATTACACTTAAGCGACATATAAATCCGAACACCCAGTTTAAATGGTTTTATTTTAATAAAAGTTGGTGAATGTATTTATCTTACTGTAAATAACAAGTGAAAAATTTTTCAGCCTTATCAGTTGGACATTCCGGTTTTTATACTGCTTTTTTTTAATTCACTAACGCTCTCAAAAAGGAATTTTTCTGCCGCAGTAAAGAATCAAAGTTGGCGGATTTTGGTTCTTGACATCCTTTACGATCGGTTACGATGGCTAGAGTACGGAGACCTGTACGATTTCGTCAACTTAGTGAGTTTGATAGGGGCCATATAGTGGTATAGTGGGACTTCGGGAAGCTGGACTTTCTTTTCGGGCAATTGCAGTTAGAGTGCAAAGAAGTTTAGACACTGTGGTTAGGTGTTGTCAGGCATGGCTTCGAGAAGGCCGTACGCAAAGAGCAAGGGGCACTGGACGCCGCCGTAGAACAACAGACCATGAAGATTATTGGCCTTAAGTGACCGTTTCTCCACTACCAGGTCCATTGCAAATGAATGGTTTGCAGAACACGGAAGACCTATTGGCATGCGAAGTGTTTACCGACGAATGAGAAGTTTTGGCTTGTTTTCATACCGGCCACACTGGGTCCTCCCTTTAACTCGAGAACACCGACGTAATCGCCTTGAGTGGTGCAGACAACGGTCACTCTGGGATCAGGAATGGTACAGTATTGTCTTTAGTGACGAGTCTCGATTTTGTTTAGGCATCCACGATGGTCGTGCCAGGGTTGGAAGGCGACGTGGTGAAAGGAGGAATCCACAGTTTTTTGTTGAAAGACATGTTCATCACACTGTTGGAGTTATGGTTTGAGGTGCTATAGCCTATGGTTCCAGGTCACCTTTAATCTTCATCAGAGGTAACATGAACGCGCAGCGTTATATCCACGAAGTTCTAGAACTCCATCTTTTACCCTATCTTGACACCCTGGCAGATCCAGCTTTCCAACAAAATAATGCCCGACCACATGTTGCAAGAGTCACAATAGACTTCTTTCAACATAATGATGTCACATTGTTACTATGGCCACCAAGATCTCCCGACTTATCCCCAATTGAGCACGTGTGGGATATGATGGGTAGGAGATTGCTCAATTTGCAACGTCCTCCTCAGACTCTAGAAACATTTCGAGAGGAGATGGTGGTTGCCTGGAATGAGATACCACAGGAGGACATTGACCACCTGATCAGAAGCATGCCTAGGCGCGTTGGAGAATGCGTAGCACATCAGGGTGCATTCACACATTATTAAAGGTCAAAGGGCTTTAAAGCAGTGCAATCATTTTGAAATTTTTATCATTTACTTATTATGCTTCATTAAGTACTTATACAAAGTTTTATTAAAATAAAACCATTTAAACTGGGTGTTCGGATTTATATGTCACTTAGTATAATATAGTTCGCGTTTGATAGCCTATGACCGCAAGATACTGTCGATACTGGTAGTATAATAGATGTGGTCTACTTGCCATTGAATAACTGAACATACTGTTTGCGTCTGTTCGACGACAGACGGCCAACAGTAGACAGCTGTTTTGTGCATTTCGGCAACTCAGTATGTTCAGTTGTTCAATGGCTAGTAACATAGACCACATCTAATATGCCGCCCGATTCGACAACATCTGGCGGTTACTGGCTATCAAATGCGAACTGTTCATCTTATAGTGGTCGATTCTGGTAATAGATAGCAATTTGTGCTGTCTTATTTCGACAAAGAAAATTACTATATTTTTTGCTGATGTAACCGCGTAGACAGAAACCTAATTGCCGGGGCACTGCGACTGCTGTAAAGAGCTTTAAGTCACATTGTTAGTGCAATTTTTGAATTGCTTGAAGCTTAAAGTATGCAGAACTGAAAAAATTCACTTCAGGTGGACTGTTTCACCATTTCGACACCTTAGGAACAAATGAGCGATCGTACTGGCCAGCTCTGGATGCACGAAGTTCGAGAAATAGGACTGGAGGCAGAAGCAAAACGGGTCTGTGTGAAAATCTCAACCGCGCGGTGGCATCATGGAAGAGAGCTATGTAGATCAAAGCCCGTTGACATAGCGATAGAAGAGAGCCAGAAATATGGATGGCGTTGACGAAGATTTGTTATGTCAATTGCTATAACGAATGATACCGCGTGGTTCGACATCGTCGCGACCTCGTTAAGCTCGCCATTTACAATCCCGCCAACCTTCCAAAATACTTCACACAAAACAACGGAAAGCCAGTTCCATGGTGAAAAAGATTGTCTATGAGATCTGGGAACGGAAATTCAGTTTTGGTGTCATAAATGGGGAGGTCAAAGATCAAAATGGAAACTTTTGATACATCTATATAAACAGAAGATGGAGGACAATATCTCAGATTTGTACTTGAAAAAATGAAATATTTTGGTGGGTTTGCACAAAGGGTATCATTCCGGCCGCCTCTAGGGAGTTACAGGACCCTATTAAAATGATAGTAAAAAACGGTTAGCGAACAAGGTTGATTCAAAATTTTGAATGTTAGTTTAATAAGGAATGATTCAAGTTGCTTTTTACAGTCACTCTGTTGAAATTCATTGGAATGCTTTCGACCAAAGTTGTCTACAGAGCTGTCACTTTGGGGCCTGGATCTCTGAAGGGGAGGCCTGTAGAGCACAAACTAGCATCAATATTTTATGGCTTGAAATACAAGTTTAAGATATCATCCTTCGTCTTCTTTTAATACGCTTTACTAAAAGTTGGAATTTTGGAATAAGACAGCACAAAGCGCTATCAACTACCAGAATCTACCACTGCGAGAGTATAGTTGCTATCGGGTCTACTCTCCATTGAATAACTTAACATACTGAGTTGCCAAAAATCGCAAAACAGGTGCCTGAGATCTTTACAGCTCTAACTGATTGCTGCTGTACACTCTTGCAGTGGTCGATTCTGGCAATAGATAGCGCTTTGCGTTGTCTTATTTCAATATTTCTCATACGTTGGACAAAGATATAAAAAACACGAAACAGTTCTCCATGGTTGACTATCTGTAGTTGGATCGACGAAAGTAGCATGCTTAAATGGAATTTTGACCCTTGACCCTCTATTACAGATCGAAAATTGAGTTTTTCGACCCAGGTCCCATGGACACTTTTTATAAATGAACTATCGATTTTCCAGGTGCTTCTTCAACTCCACAGGAAGTGTTTTCCGATTGCTTGAATTGTTCGGAGCAATGTTGATAGTCAGACCGAATCTCAATGAATTTAGTCTCCCTAGAATATTTCTTTCGCGCCTATAGCGCTCGTTTGTCATTAATCAGTAGATGACAATTGTTGAAACCAGCCATTCGATCCCCTCGCTGCTACCGTTGATTGTAAAGTTTGTGATGTTACAATAAGTTACTAAAATATAATGTAACCAATTTTGATGCGACCCTTTTATGTTGCTTTAGTGCTATATAGATCCTAGGAGATAAAACAAATCTATATTGGAAACTTACCTGGCTCCAGTTTCCTGTCATCCATGACTTTTCCTCAATTCTAGGAAGCTCATTGTCACTTATGCTTTCACAAGCCGGTTTCCTACAAGGTCTTGACTGAACCGCCGGTTTTGGTAACCTCTGGCATAGACTTTCGCTGACAATAACTGGGCCATTTGATGAGTCTTGCTTGCACTGAGGGATGTTTTGTTGAACACCTGCAACAAGAATTTTGAAACCGGGGGGTTAATTCTTGGAATCAACGAGCACAGAAACTAAGAGGATGTGGGCGTGATTCTTTTACATTTTGCGAAACACTAATAGAAGAGTCGCTCCAGGAACTATTCTCGCCGTTATTATCAGTCTCGACTCTAAACACGAAGTGAACTTTGTAATGGAAAGTCTAACGGTATGAAGAATCCAAAAACATGTTGCTTTGCTGAAAATGGATGTAGGTATGCATAAATGTTTGATAAATGTCAACAGCTGTCAGAATTTGAGATAAAAGGCAGTAGAACAGCACGGGTATTGTAAAAAACCTATAAAACGTCAAAAAAAACCTATAAAATGTCATCTTGCAGACTAGGTAGTTTTAGGGTGCAAACAGTCATTCCAGTGTTCCGAGTGGTCTGTAGTTTTCATCTCTGAGAAGAATGTTGGTTGAATACCAAGATCGCATCTGGATGATTGTGTGTATTGGTCTGCACGTGAATCAAAATCAGTGATATTTGCTGTGTGAGAAAATCATTACTGAATACGCTGCCAATGAAGTATATCAATTAGCTGTGCGTGACGAATTATTTGTGTTGTGCTTTCTGAAGAGAGGTTATGTTCAAAGTTATAATATAAATTACGAAAAACCTTGAGAAGAATTAAGGGGAATCACTACTGCATATGTAATTTCCAGAATGGATAAATGGAATTATCATAAACACATACAACTTACAGCTTAGACCTCCAGTAATGCCATCTCTGAAGCAGATTTTACATCACATAAAAGCCAAACATTGATAACTGAAGCGTCATGACGTTTAGGCAACACGTACAACTAAGTGTTAACATCTTGTAGAAAAATGTACATAATGTCTGCCTCGCACACTTTCTTTCAGAGATGCAACTGCCTCGTCTTCAAGAATACGGGTCCGGGAGCAAACGTGTTCACAGTAAAAGGTACTTACGCTAGAAAGAATGAGAGCCTTTCCCAACCTTATCCTTATCATGTCTGTCGAATGAATTCTTTTTGTCTAAATATGAAGATTAGTATGAGAATATGTCACTGTAATTTATGAAGTGCTTCTTGAATTAATTTTCCGAGAAAAACATACCTAGTAATATAGCTTTCATCTGTTCGACCAACCATAGGCAGCTGTTTCGTGCTTTTTGACAGCTTATCAGCTTGGTTTACGCTTGGTCCCAAGCAAGACAACATACGAAAGCTGAACAACTATCATCTATCCAGGATATAAGACATGTCGAAATAAGATAGCACAAAATGCTCTCCTCTTCATCCCACAATGTCAATGTGAGTGTTTCCCAGGGACCCATCTTGACTTCGACATTGTATCTCTTACATATTAACGAGCTGATTTTGTGTACGATCAGTCCGATCCACTGATTTGTTGATGACAGCACTCTGTATACGTGCAGGAATTCAGAGCGCCAAGCCGATCTCCGTCGCCAAGCTAGAGAGAAGAGGACAGGCAGCGAATTTCTCTCAGAAACCTGGAAGTTATCACTGGTTGGGGAGGCAACAGTTTGGTACGGTTTAAAACTTCCTGATCACAGTACTGTGCCTTGACGAACAACAATCGGCCTAGCGCTCATCTGGTTTCGATTGATGGATGGCTTCTACGAAAAAGCCGCTCATTTCGGCTGGTCGTAACTGGTACAAACACTTCTCGTCAATCACATCAGCTGCGGGAAATTAGCTAGGCCAAGAATTACTTTACTTCCCACAACCTCAGGCCCAGATAGCCTCCAGTACTTTCTACATATTTGGGGTGCTGCCACCCCAGCTACATCATCTCTGTTCAGAGAAGGGTTGTCCGACTGTTCGATGTCTCTTCTCTAACGGACAGCCTAACCACATGTCAAAATTCGTACACACAAAACCGCCCGTTGTCTCTGAGGTGTCAAGGTTGCGGACCAACCTGCTTGAGAAGGCTTTTCCCAGTTTTACTAGCCTTAGACAGTTCAAAAATAAAATGTATTTAAGCTCCGTCTAGCAGCCTGCGGTTCCCTGGTATTTAGGGTTCTGCCTACGCGGCTGGTCCGGTATAGGAAAAACTTGTGTGGTACCTACCGTCTCCACAAGTGACGCTGCAGTCGGTCCACTGTTGATCCCAAGATGGCGGACACGGGTCAGTGTTGCACCGTATTGGTGCTGACGTTGGAGACTCTAAGTGGGTGCATCTTCTGTCATGCACAGGCATTTGATTGTGTGGACCAAGATCTCTGATGCATGTCTTCACATATGTCTGAATACCTTGAAGAAGAATAAATATTAGAAGGAGAAGTTTGAGAGTTAGAGGGCTTTACCTCCTCCGCAAGATTTGGAGCACGCTGTTAGTCCGGTTACTTTCCAGTGGAAGTGTTTTCTTCGAATTCTTGTTCTTCTAGGGCCAGGATGAAGTATCTATAATGGTACGAGATGTATATGCATGGTGTCGATGTAAATTCGATTTTTTTTGCAATCAAAGTAATCTCGTTCACTGATGTGCAAAGTAAAGTGCCCAATAAGCCGGAAAATCTCAAAGAACGAGCATTTTTTCAATTATTGTCTAGAAGTAATCAGTAACATGCAAAAGATTGACCAGTGTACCTATGTTCAAACCCCATAAATCTTTTTCGCCCTTGAATCAATGCAAATATTGTGGTGGTACTTCCTGAATTAGAATAAAGGTCAAACATTTCCGGACATATACCAGACAGACAGACGGAAATGAGTGACATGGTTATTTCTAATTTGCATTTCATCTAATATACTAAAGAACAATAATCTAGATTTCGAAATTTTATGCGACTATAATGATTCCTCGCCAATTGCCGGGGAAAGTAGAAATATCACACCAAAACAATCAATTTTCCATTACTTTGTTTAACTTTCCTCTGAATTTCATCATGACAGAAGCGCGTACAGAATGTTTGAAAATGGATATGGCGAATGACCCAACCGAGTTTAAATCCAGTACAAAATGTCATTACAATAAAAATGAAACTAATTGAACTTGTCTCAAGTTCTGATTCATTTTATGGCTTTGCTGGTGGTCTAGAAAATTAAGCAATGATTGCATAATTGTATAAATATGGCGATTCCCATGCATGAGGCAATAGGACGCTTTTCTCCAAGTATAGGAAGCAGTAAAATAAAAGTGTTTTTGTATGTTAGCTCATGAGAAGCCGAAATACTAGGGATTCAGATATTACCAGATCAATATTTTGATCTACATCTCTCGAGGCTCCCTATCCCCACCCTTCTTCAAATTACAGAAAGTTGTCAAGACAATTCAACTACGAAGTTCCCAGATGATTTCAAGAAAAAAGGGTCATAGAAACATATGTCAAAAATGTCACACTTCCGTTCGAGCACACCATTAACAAACATGTATATTCTTATGTAGTGTAGATGCCCTTACTTGATCAGACTCTTCTATCCTATGATCGATTAGTACATCATTTATACCGACGTTTCGCATTTATAAGGCACAGAGGATTCAAATATTGTAGTATGCATAAAAGGTGTATATTACAGAATACCAATTTCTACAAAATTGCCAGACTGACGGTTCCTTTGACTTTGACTAACTGAGATTTCATTCTGAAATGTTAGGAATTACCTGAGGTCTTGATTCATCCTTCAAAGTAACATTGCTGTACGTAGTTTCGAGTCGTCTGGTTTCGATAATAGAAGGATCTGCTGAATTAGGCCTTTTCATAAGTGGGGGCGCGATAACCGGGGCATCTTCCATAGGCAGCGAGTAACTATACTTGATTCCTGTGTTGGCTTGGTAGTTGACTATCTGCAATCAATAAAAAAATAGTCTTCACTGAAATGATCTAATTCAGAATTGAATAAAGCTGAATCACATTTGGTCATTTCAAAAACCACCTAAGTCATATTTTTCCTTTTTTTGCTGGAAACGTTTAGTTAAAGGTAGGTGTATACTTCAGGAATACTCCACGTAAATTAATACATTCATTATCTCCATCCTTGGATTGCTTTTTTATTTAATATTCATGTATTACATGCACCAAAATACCAATTGTAGATCATCTAATTTCTAGAAATCTAAATTTATAAGCTTTATGTAAATCCTGATATCATTTCCGTTGCTTAATTACTATAATAGTTTTGCAATACAGCTATATTTATTGACTGCGTTCAAAGTAATTTCCACCACATTCAATACACTTTGCGTCAGCCGAAACCAGTCCTTAAACCAGCTCTGCCAAGTTTCACCCCGAAGTGCGGCAGAAGGCCCTCATCGCTAGAAAACAGTTTTCCTTTTAGCTTCATTTTCAAATACAGAAACAGTGAAAAATCGCAGGAAGCAAGATCTGGACTGTAAGGAGGGTGCTCAATAAGTTTTAGTCCAGTAGTGGTCAAATACTCGGCGCAGGCTTTGGCGCGGAGAGCTGGACCGTTGGCATGGTGGAGGTACCAGGTGTCCATTCTTGACTTTGGCAGCTGGTTTTTCATAGACTCTATGACTTTAGGCAGGCACTGTTCCATATACCACTTAGCCGCGACTGTCTTCTGTGTGTCCGAAACGACCTGCTCCACAATCCCGCTCGACTTACAGATATCATTTTTTTCTTAACAGATCGGGATTTTCTGACAGTTACGGGTGTGTCCTCATCATCAAAGATCCAAACTTTGTTTTGAGCCCGGTTCACGTACCGAGATTGCCTCTTATCAAACATGTTCAGCATCTTTCGGCACCAAGTCATACGTCAAGTCTTCTGCTCATCTGTCAGACTATGCGGTACCCAGAGAGAACAAAGTTTCCTCACGTGTAAATGGTCACGCAGAATTGAATGAATTGCTGGTGCATGAAGGCGTAAGGTCTCCTTTATCTATTGGTATGTCACTCTACGGTCTTCATCAAGTTTTTTCCTCGCAGCAGTAATGTTTTCCTCTGTTACTGACTTTGGTCGCCGTCCCTCCCTATCAGCGTCCTTCAGAGTGAAATTGCCCTTTTGGAGGTCTCTGTACCACCTGAATATAGTTATACCTACTCTATGGACAATCTTTCATTAATGCAGGTGTCATTTCTTCTAAGCTTAAGCCACGCGTAAAGTTATACCGTAAAACTGCCCTCATCTCACACGTGACCACGATGCCATAGTTCGCACTTTAGACTGTTAATACGAATGAACAACTAAGCCAGCAGACGTGCTACTGGCAGCTACTATGCACTCATGGACATGTCTCAACATGCAGTACCATGCAGCCTCCTGCGTCCGTTTGTCAAGTCATATTGCAAAACTTTTATAGTACCCTTTGATAATAGGCAAAATATAACGCATTTCCGTGAAAAACTCATTCCTGGTAATACTGACTCTGCCCCCAAAGAGTCTAGTGGTATTGATGCACTCAAAAGAAACCTAACCTAAGATATAACTTGGGTATTCATTGCTAAACTTTCATTTTATATGGATTCCTTAGTTCCTTTTTTAGTGACAGATATGGAGCCAAATGCGTAAAAGTTATGTTTTTCCATTAAGGCAGTGTCACATGCGTTCTCTATTTCGAAATAATCATGAATGCGCTTGGAGACTGAATGTGGTCACAAGCCACAAAGATAAATTTATTTGGAATAAACCTCTCATAATAAGATTATATATTAGTGACACGTATTAAAGTTACTTGCGGTCTACGATAGTCGTTCTTAATAAGGTTTAAAAATCAAAATCAATTTATTGGTGTTTCTGCCATATGGCTTACAAACGTCAGGAATACACAAGGTTATACAAGTATAGACTGTAAGTATCATCGCAAACACATATTGAAATTTAAAATATTCCCTCACAGAGTATAGTGATACAATAGTTAGCTTTCCTACGTAACAAAGGCATAAACCATAAAGGCATAAGCCACAAAGAATCCGGCAACACACCTCAACGGGTCCCAACATATAGGCCGTCCAAGTTGGTATAATGGAGTATCGACCCCACTCGAATATCTGCTTCAAGAGGAAGAGTGGTTTCGGTCAATTCCTCATTTGTAATGTTTCTTCGCATTCTGAGAAAATGTTTCAGGGGTACATGTTCCCAAATTCAAAGGGTCCCAAGGTGTACGCTGTCCAAGTCACTGTATTGGGGTGTTGCTCTACTCAAATATCTGCATTTTGTGGAAGAGTGCTTTCGGTCAATTTCGCTGTATCTTTTATATGTTATGTGGACGGCCTATATCTGGGGACCCGTTGAGGTAGGAGGCCTATGTCCAGTGAAAAATTTGTTCGGGATGTCAAGACCCATAACATATAAAAAAGTCATCGCTACCAGAATTGCTATCAGTCAAGGGATGGTGTCTGCCCTGCATACTGTCATCTGAACTAAGTCCAGAATCGTCCACTCTTTTCACCATTGACTAGATTTCGCGTCCAGCTTGAAATTTAAGTGGCTTATAGCTTTTTAGTTAGTCTAAGTAGCATTATTTTTGACTACCGGTGTTGGTCCTTTAGATAAAAATTTAAATTTGCGGCTAAACATTTCTGTAAACAGGTTCATCCCTTCAGTAAGAATAGGTCTCGATGAGCTAGAAAAGAAACCAAGTTGTATTTTAGTTGCACCTCGGGCAGAGTCGGTGGCGTAGTGATAGACGTTATGGATATACTAATCAAACGTCGTGCGCTGCGCGCGTTCGAATTCCGTCCCAAGAGAGACTGTCGACGGCAGAGGTACCACACGGCGGATGCACACGCAGGGCAAGGATGTGTGCACGTTGCATGCACACGTGTTCCCTCGCTAGACTCCATGTGGCGTCACCCCCTTTCTCCTGTGTCCACCTATAGTCCCACGGTATCCATGGGTGTTTAGGTCTTACGCCTTTGTGGTGGTTCAAGTATAAAGCAACATATAAAGGTATTTGAAAAAATAGCATAACCATTGTCCAGATTTCTCCAAATTTCGTTTTACATTCTACCTGCTATCTTACTTCATACCAGCTGTATTAATTCAAAAGCAGCTGTCTCCCTAAAAACTATTCTTTATAAGAATCTGAAAAATTGCTCTCGGAGTGGGGGGGACACCCTGTAGAATTAATTCTGTTTATCTTACCATGATATCAACGGGACTCGCCAACGGACCCGGTGACTTAAGATTTTCCAAAGAGTTCTCATCCGGTCTGAAGTAGACAAACTTTGTGCCCGCTCCTGGAAACACTCTGCTGTTGCTGAACTTCCAATCACCGTTCACGATGAAGCTGCCGTTTGTGTGCTTCAAAGCTGGAAACCGTGAATAGATGTATTAATAACCTCATTACGAAATACACTATGGCGTAGCCAAGGTTCATGAAGCCTAGTAAAAAACAGTATTTCAACTGAGAAGTGAGCAAATACAGGTGTTTTCGGCGTTTTGAACGTGGCGGGTAAAAGCGGGCTTGAACGCTAACGTCAGTATAGCTCAGGGATCGATTACTGGACCTATATTATTTACTATTTATCCTCCATATTTACACTGCTATTTACTTCATTGTGAATTTAAAATTGTTGATGTACATTTAGCTGAGCAAACACTGAATTCGGACTTTTATGTATATATGTGTATATAAGAAATATCTTTTGCTACAAAATCCGAAAAAGTCCACTCTCGTTTTGTTGTGCACCAATCGACTTGAAGAAACAATAAAAAATAATTTCAATGTCATAATCGATAACGTTCCGATTAAATCATTAGCAGTACCAATATTCCGGTTTCCAAATCAATGCTTGTGAATATAAAAATGCCTATTCTGCTCTCTGAAACATTTATCCTTACCGAAATTTAATAAATTATGAAACTTGTTCTATCACAGTTTTCTTTCGTATCGTGAACTCCGCCTTTTAGTTAACTGAATAAAGACATCTATATATTATTATTATTATTATTATTATTATTATTATTATTCTATAAAGTGTATCCCAGTAAAATGTATACAGGGTGGTAATAAAGTATGTAGACAAACTTTTACCATCGAATCCTTGGTCAATTTGAAGACTAAATTTCAATATGAGCATGGGTCCTCAACGGCTTTGTTTTCAAGCTAGAGCATATTAGCACTGAAAGAAATGATGATGTTCTAAAAAATTATAAAAGAATGGAAGGTATTTTATTTTAATTAAGTATGCCCTGTGGTGAATGTCACCTGATTTACAGTTGTTTTCAAACCCTCCGTGTACGTAGATACGGATAATGTTATCCAGTATTTTTTGAAAAAATAGCATGACATTGATTTGTTTTGATCGCAATACTTTTAATATTTAACTATTGACCTTCTAAATAAATCTTTATTCCAAAAATACACGATAATACTATTTTCATTCATGTGCATATTGAGCCTCAGCAATTTGTAAAACATGCAAAATTTACCATAGGGTTATACCAGTTGTTCAATGAATACGTTTCATTATTCATAGAAATATTTGGAACATTACTCGTATTTCTTTAGTGATAGTGTTCTAGCTGGAAAAGAAAGCCGTTACGGACCCATGTTCATATGAACATTTCAAATTGACCAAGGATTTGATGATTAAAGTTTGTCTACATACTTTATTAACACCCTGTATATTTCATACAGACATGCTTCAAAATTACTTTATTGACTTACTGCGGCTATTTATATCGACTCTAAGCTAAAATATGCTTAGAAATATGGAAATTACATAGGGTATCTTGGTGCATCTGACTTTTTACTTGGCATAAAATAATCTCTTGAGTAAACATCAATTTTGTATAAATTACTGTCGTTATTAAAACGGTTGGTAATAAATCATTGAATTATGCAGCAACATTAGGTCGCTTTTAGGTCCGAGAAATTTTGCATGCCATCATACAGGGTCTCTCAAGTAGAATTTTCAGGATCGATTACTTGAAAAGTTTATATAAGACAACTACGAACATTTGGGGCTATAGTATAATTGAAGAGATTTGGATAAGATATTTTCAAAATGATACTTCTGGTTCAACTTTTACTTTTTTAAACGCAAAATTCTGTATACTAATCAATTTTTTAATTCAATGCAAGAATTATAAACCCATATGTTGAGACACCTGAAACTGTACATGAAACATCAAAAATATACAGGCCGATAATGATTTTTAAACCTAACTGCAAGTAATGCAGGGTGGTCAAAAAAGAACATGAACATAGAATTTTAAAATACGTTAGACATTTTTTTCAAACGAAATGATGCCCTTTTATATTTTTCTCGTCAAATTAAGCATTAAAAATAAGGCTGAATCAATTCAGAAATATTCGGCTGCCTAGCCTTGCTTTGAGTTGTATAACTACTATTACGATATTTATTATATTTATAAGGAGGTCCTCAAAGTTGGGACTTTACATAGCGTACGGGTCACCAAAAGCTTTAAGATAACCGAGACATTAGGTTCCAAAAAGCAATAAATGAATCAGTACCACCCTGCCAAAATCCCCTCCTACGTCAAAACATATGATGTAATAAGACTATGTGAGTCAGTATCCAAAACAGGTCATGAGGTGTCTAAGTTAATCTAGTTTATAGACATTTGTAAAATCGAAATTCTATCAGATCTGCATATGTTTGTTTAAATCGTGAAAAGCCTTCTGGTTGAACACAGTTGAAGTCCTAGACAGCCCCAAATCATGCAAAATTAGGAATTGTGTTTTTGAATTTAAGAGCGACAACTTCAAGCAATCTTTACAAACCAAACGTGACAGGGCAGTATTGGACATTTTTTACCAAATGAATAGTCAGTATTTTTTTTCAACTTCTTTCTTACGTTTTAGAGTTATGCCGCAAATTAACTTTGGTATTGCAAACGTAGTTGACTCTGAAAAGGAAAGTCCCAACTTTCAGGACACCCAGAAAGTAAGTGCAGTTTCTTCCTTTTGGCATGTGTCGGTTGAGCCGTGGAAAATTTGAATATTTGTGAGATTCTTTGATGAGTGTAGCTTGTTTCTCTGCTGGTGCACCAGGAACACCAGTAGCAACGGTACCATCAGTGAGACCATCAGCACACATCAAACGCTACCCATGATTATTGAAATTTTTTCAGACTCAGTCCACTGATACTCGACTGTCAACGTCATATGCTTAGTCACCCAGGCCCCGTCATGATCAAGTTGCAGATCATCATCAGATTAACTGATATTCACGCTTCAAAGTGTTATCTAATAAAGTTGTATTTATTGAACGGAGCGCATTTTATAACGAGACATACTTTACTCACGATGTTTTTGGACAACACCTACCTAGTAGATTTCTAGTATGTTTCAACTGCTCAACAACAATTTTGCAAGCTCCCGCAGGTATCTGTGCCACCAAAGAGTATCCTGGTGGCAGATCAGGCTTTGTGTAGATGCCGTTGATGTCCCGACAAGTGGACCGTCGACATGCTGCACATTGCTCGTCAGGTGCGTGGACTTCACTATCTATACTGCCGACCACACCATGAGAGTTTACTGCCTGTAACAAGAAGAAAACTATTTTAATACAATTCAAAGTATTCATTCATCATTATATAAGAAATGGCGTCAAGTGAGCTGACTCTGCATTTCCTATGCAAGTCCGTCATCGGTTCGTAAAGGACTAAGTTCAGCGCAATTTAATTCCTCTGAGAAAAAACTCAGTTACGAAGATGTACAATAGAGGAATTATATGGATTGAGTCAGACACACAAGACCAAACAATTAGTCCATTGACATTTTTTCACTGTCTTACCGGTAGTTACTGCTCATCTAGCAACGTTGTCCCTTTTTAGATCTGCACGGCAGCACCCAGCGCGGCATCGCTGCAGCGAATTGTCGTTCTATTCGTGTATGTTTCGTGAATATGTTCTTTGCTCTGAAGTACGAATAGATTAGTCAGCCGGACCGGTTCGTCGGGCGGTGAGCTTAGATAGCAGGAGTCCGCGGATCGAGAACATTTCTCTGTCATTTTTAAAGGCAAATGTACGACGAAATCTATGATGTGTAACATATGACTAATAGGTGGATATAATTACCAGGGTTGGGAGCGTATAAATATACTAACATCAAATACCCTCCCCACCCCCTACAACCCCCAACCCATGAATTTAAACCCCTAAATTTTTTTCTGTCAATGATGTCTGAAACGTCAAAAAACGAAGTCTGAGCAATTTTTATTTTCCTGTTTTTGGCTTTTTTCTTCTCCGCCTGTGTACCGATTTCCAAAAACTGCAAAGCTCTATCGTCCTTTGCATAGTAGCAACCTTGTGGGTTTCACCAAAATCTTAGCGGTACTTCTGAAGTTATAGAGTGTCCAAGGATTAGCAGGCAGACAGACCGACCGACAGACTGACCGGCAGATAGGTCGCCATGGTTTTTCACGATGTACGCGTCATATAAGATCCAAGAAAAAAAATATCTCATTATCGATTTTTTTGTGATTACAATACCCAGTGAAGTAGGAAGTAAAAGCATCACACATTGTAGAAAATATTCATAGATAAATAGTATTATCACTCAAAATAATTGTTTACGCCTTTTGTATGTAATCCAAAACTCCGGTCTCCGTTTAAACATGCGACTTATCCAGGCGTAGTACACTTCTTATGCTACGTTGTGCTTTTACCCATACTTTTAATTTTCTTTCAAATAAACCGATGTTTTGAAGCTTAGAGGTAGGTACAACGATGTAGCAATTTGGGCGTGAAAAAACGAGACATCTGCTGAATATACTTTTTTTGGTTTATTATGCAATGAGTTTAGCTTCACTAACCATAAATATTACATAACTTCATAGAAATGCAATCAATGTAAACTGAAAAGATCAGTAATGTTGAACAGCTTCTTGTAAGTTATCAAATCTTGTGGGCTTATTATACAGGGCGTTTCAAAAAAACGTGGCAATACTCCTAGGGTATAAAGTAATACGTACGGATCATATAAACATGGGTCCTAAAATCCCCCTTTACCGGTGTGCAGTGTGTAGAAATTGTAATATTCTAATCGGAAAAAATATATATCTTCGGTGTGGAGTAAGATAGTAAGATATTCACTTAAATTTTGGCACATATACCATTGGCGTAGAAATTAGGAAATTTTGACTCCACAGATGAAAGAAATGCTTGTCTACACTACTGGCCTACTTGGAATATACATTTTGAAACAAGTTATTGAATTTTACACAATCCTCTTGTTTGGCAATTTTTTGCCAGTTGACTCCTTTTGAAGAAACATTAGATCGGATATTTGAAGTAAAGTCCGTACAAAAAGCTTCAACCCGTTCTACCCTAAAAATATGCTGGGTTTAGTAAAGTTTCACATTAAAAGCTGTATTTAGTGTATGAGATAAGGACACACTTGTCCTTATTTCATCAGTGGCGTAGAAGCCTACAACACCCTGTATCTTAGTAACGGGCATTTTAAACCTATGTTTATACCATATTTTTATTTTATTTTTGGATGTACCTTCTACGCTAGCAATATTGCTACCCAAATCTTCATTAGAATCACTTTTCGCAATCGATTTAATGGTAAAACGTTTATTTCTGCTGCACTTTTCGCGGTTATAGCAAAGAGTAGTCATGTCGTGGAATGCTTTTATAATCGGGCGGACAGCCTCATTGACCTCTGCTTGATCTGCTGATCGTAAATTTTTTGTAACATCATCGCGTACAGATATGGTATTATAAAAACTAGTTACATCTTAGATATTTTGATGCTAAACAGCAAACCTGCCGATAGTTTTTAACATTCCATATCAGTACGCGATGTAACCAAAACTTTGAGGTCGGCTCTTGGACTATTAGTGACTTCCAAATAAAAACAACCATCTATGTGCGGACCGTCGAGGCGGTGCTGGCAAACCCCAATAAAATATTTATAATTTATACTAAGCAGTATCGAGCAGTCATACGAAATGAATACACATATTGTCTAAAGGCCAGGATGTCTAGATAGCTTACGACTTTGTCAAGTAGACCGACGATTGGAGGTTGGAAAACTTGTGAATTGCAAGCTGACGTACTTTTTTATTACTAAACGAGATGAAGTAATATTTTGCGTAGTGCCCAAAAGTTAAATGGCTATAGTATAGATAGTTAGGTAGATATATGGTTTATTGTCTTCGGATCAAAGGTATGATATAAGACTCGTCAGATGTATCTCTATAAGTAGATTACTATCTACAAAATTTGAAAATAAATTTTTAGGTATAAATACATAAATTTGTCGAAGAAGCAGCGGTTAAAATGGAAATAATCACAGTTAGTGGAAAAAGGACAAAGGACGTATGTACGCACGAACAAAACACACTAAACAAGCAGATACAAAAAATAAACGGAAGAAGGTGTATGAGGCGTAAGTATAATAACAATAGAAAAATAAAAGGAACGCATATATAGGTAAGTATCAGAACCCTAAAAAATATATAGAGGAAGTGCAGCATATTTGGAATACTGTAGTTACCTTGGAATATTTAGTTATGTAAATCAATGTAAACGCTATCTGTATTTTTTTACCGTGAATGCAAAGTCGTAAATCACACGAAACCACAAGTTCTAAAAACAGGACGCCATCTTGACATTTCCTGCTACCAGCCACACGGGAACGAGACGTCTGCTTTGAAAACTTTTTCGGTACGAATGCAATCATTGATAATCATTTACAAAATCTTTATTGCAAGTATTTGAGCTGTTATGTGTCCTTGTTAGTTTACAAGTTTATTCGAATTTTCTGAATGTATTTATAATTAATGATGTGACAAGGAATTTTAAGTCAGGATGTTATGTTGTCAATTTGGAATAGGTATAGTGCTTAGTGTGCGAATTTTGGGTTCACGCTACTATATACAATCTTAGTTTCCTATTTTATTTCACTCTTATGGTGAAAGAAACTCAGCTACTGAATAGTAGCATTTTTATATTAATTTTTCTATTTATCACTTATCAGTAATTTGAATTTCGCCTCATTGATAATAGAGTGCCCATTCCTAGGCCAAACCCCTTTTCAATGATTTTATTTTTGCAAATTTAATAGTTTATTGATTCTGTAATTTCATTCGTATTATATCTTTCTTTCTCAGCGATTCAATATGGTGTTGACGACCAGCAAAAAACTCTGCAGTTTTTCTGCGTTAGTTGGCTTCCTATAAAACATATCTTCTTCAATGCCACTCAAGATTCCTTCCTCTAGAACGTCACGTATTCTGTGATTCGCTTTTCAATTTCCATTGAGGTCGTGGTGCAGAGGTCTTTTCGTCGTCTTCCAGACTCTGGGATATTAGGCCCCAAGCACCCATTCATGGACTACCACCCTTTTCTTTTTGTCGTGTAACTTAAGTTTAGTTATTTTGGGTGCTACGTCTTCCATTCCTTTATGGGATTTTGACCGTCAGCGGGCAGTTCTATTTTTATATACCTTCGGACTGCGTGTCTTAATGCGTGTGTTGATGACGTTCATTCAATATCTGCTTTCTTTTTGTCAATAGAAACAGAAGAAAATCATCGTATTTTCGCCTCCAGTCAGTTGCATCGTTGCAAATTGGAAGCCATCCCCTTAAAAAAAACCTGACGTGAACAGGTAAAATATCATTCTAATTAACAATTTCATAGATCTTTATACATTTATTATTGCTTATTGAAATTCTTAGGGCATTCTTGATTTTATTAGACAGTCTACTTATTCAAATATGGGGGCAGTGCCTACATGGCACCTTCTATTACATAACTTTTTAGAACACGGGTATATTAGTTTAGTACATTTTTACCTTTTTTTTGCCTTTGCTTTACTTTTCTTATACGAAAAAAATTTGCATGGTTTTGCTTCAAGTGAGATTGTTTTCATTGAGTAGTTTTATCTCAGACAGAGAGTAGAGTAGATTTTTAAACAGTCTTTCTCTCTCTAGGGTTTTTTTCTTGTTACCATCATAATTTTTGCGACCGAGGCAAGCAGCCCCTGTCCAGTGATGTGCCCACTACTGGCTTCCTTTTTTTGTTCTTTTTGACCTGGGATACATCTCGGCTGCGCCTAGCCGTAACTGGGAGAAGACCTCCGCCCAGATAAGTGTAGTTTAGGTGTAAAACATATATGTCCTTTCTCACACTCCAGTGGTGGAGCATATGCGCGTTTTGTTTTTTTTAATCAATATATTGTGATCCATTTGATATCTTGTTTATTTGGCTCTCTCTGTGTGTACTGTTACTTAAATTTCGTTATCTCTGTTAGATTCTCCTTTTGTGTGATGGTCAAGCAAAACAAGTTCCGACTAAACATCTCGGGGAGTTGTGGCTTAATCCGTCCTAAGTCACTGGCGCTCTTATCCCGCCCCTACGCCCCTACTCTCCGCTTTATTGAGCTAGGGCCTAAATTTGCACGCCACTAGACAACTGTTTTGCTTGGACCAACCGTTAGGTAGCATTTATCATTGTGTTTTATTAATTAACCAAAAAAGGCGTGGCAATCTAATATCTTTTAGTATTGATGGCAACTTATTGAATACCTTGGTGCAGGCGTAGGTATACTAAAGTCCTGTTTTGCTTTAGTGTTGTAGTTCGTGGTTAAGTAAGTCATTGTTCTGCAGAAAGTGGCCACTGTGATTGAAGGTGCAGAGGGAGCATTTATAAATATATGTATACTGGGAAGCGTTAGCAAGTTATCATGCTGACATATTGCTTTACATGACTCTACTTTTAATGTTAAATATCAGCCTTACGGTACGTTTCTGCAAGATAAATACTCTGGACGCGGTGCATGCTTGTCCCCAGACGATGGTGTGATTTGACAGATGCGAATACACCATTGCGTGGTGCACATCTATCAGCGTTGA